AGACTTCATCATTCAAGTTAATCATATTATATAGAAAAAATTAGTAAAACTCAAATATATTTTCAGGAATTGCAAATAAAAAACATCTGCTATGCATTTTCCAATTTAAATTTGATCAATTAACACATTTTAAAAATGAAAATCATAGGTATCCAGTATGACACCCATTCTCAATATAAGGGCACAAATGCCTCTCTGATTTTTAAAAAAATGAAGTTCAAGAAAAAAATTTTTCTATCAATTACCTTTGAAAGAAGGTATATGAAGATTTTGTTTCCAGATTTTTTTTCATCAAATTATAATACATTGAATAATGACAAGACGATAAAGCAGAGGGTGATTTTATTCAGAAATGTAGCTTGAAATGTACGTTACTCTTTCTTCAATGTCCAAAAAGATATGTAAAAAAAAATGTAGTCATTAAAATCACAATTGGAATAGCTCATCTTAACACCAGCACATCCTACCAACTCTGTCAGCAACATATTTTCTCGGCAAACGAACGTGCGTTTGATTTTTCCTTTCAAAAAACAAAGGTTACTTTTGGATCCAGATGTATAAAAACATTTTTTTAAAGATATGCTTTAAATTCTTCTCTCTGTTTTGTTTAGAGCGATCAGTTTGGAATCTTGTCATTTTTTATAGATACTGGAACCTAACATGTACATGTAGAAAAATTCTATTTTGTAGTTACTATCTTTTTTAACATATATCCATGCCGATTTAGAAAACTACGTAAATGTAACGTACATTTCAAGATATATTTCTGTTTAATAAAAAGCTTAAAATTCATCTAAAAATTCATTGTTTTGATTCAGTTTATTAAAAAAAAGATTCTCTATGTAATCACATTGTGTTATATGTCGCAAACACCATTATGAAGATACGATTGCCTCAGAATATGAGTAGGTAACGTACATTTCAAGCTTGTAATATGTAAATTAGTAATAAGAAAATTTTGAAAAAAAAAGCAATTATTGACATAAAATTCATTTCAATGAAGCGTTTTAAGGCAGTAATATAAGAAATCATAATGTAACAAACGAGGTTATTTGTCATTAACTACATGAATGTCACGTCACTTCGGTAACGTTCATTTCACATATTATTGGAGAGTCCCCTCCACCTCAGTTCATTACCATTCTTTTGTGCTGTTTCGCTGAAATTGACACCGGTCGTAGCCTAGTTACTTCTACCTGTGTGCAAGGGTACAGACAAAAAAATATAAGAGTCAGACGTATTTTGCTATGATCTAACATATGCTCGTGTTTGGCCATGGAAACTGAACATAAATCTATTCCGAATATATCCATTGACAGTATGTTAACAATTTCATTCAATATGTTGCAACATCGTTTTTCAAAACACAAACATACGTGCTTTTCAGCAGATCTGGAAAAATATAACCCAAAATGCAATGATTCAAACAAAACTGAGTATTGTGTGCCTTTCAGTATTTGAAAGGTACGTGACCGTCTTGTGTTCTGGGTTTAGGCCTATTTGTTTCTTTTTTTCAATTTTTTGTTTCTTTTTTTACCAATTATAAGCCTATGCATACCTTGTTTAAATTATCAACAACAATTAAATTATAATATTGACGAAAAGTCGCATATTAAAAGTAAACAAACTGCAATAAGGTTGCCAAAGATGAATTTAAGACACTTAGAAATAAATTTTCTAGCATGTGGTAACAGTCTAAAATATTTACGAGGATTGGGGGTGCATTTAGATGGATTTATGTGGCCAGTTGTCAAATGGATTGTAACGATAATTTTGTTTCGCTCGTGTAAACGCAATTCATTGACTAAATTTAAAAAAAATGTCAGTTAGAAATACGTGAAATGTACGTTACCATACGTAACGTACATTTCAAATATAAAAATCAATTCTCTTCCACAAGCATACGTTAGACACGCAATATATTGATACTATTTGAACTTGCATATCATAAGAAATGCATCATACAGGTTTCGTATTCAGAAATATATATACCAGGTATCAAAATTATTTTACATATAATTGACCTTAATATATTTTTTTTCCTCAGCAGAAACGTTTCTTTTCATTAATTTTGGGATTTAGCCGACCTCCAACCTTTGAAACTTTCCTTTGTGTACACATTCGACTGTGTGAAAGTATGAGAATACATGAAAATTCGTGCGAGATTCACTTAATTTGAATTTCATGGTAACGTACATTTCAGTAACGTACATTTCAAATGATAACTTTTCATGTAAAAAATAATTTTTAATTGTGTTAATCAAATCGTCTTTGCCAGTTTACAGGGTACAAAGGGTTGCTTATTCAGAGTCGTCTCATATTTTCTTCTTAATATATATTCTTAATGGAAAAATATAGGTAACGTACATTTCTTTCTTATCTCTACGATTGAAAATGTCTTTCATTCCGTAAACATATTTAAAAAAGTTGCTCAAATTGTTCAATTTCATGTTACATTATCTAAGTAGGAGTAATTAATCTATTGAAATCTCAAATTTAGCCCATCAATTAGTAAAGGAGAACAAAACTATCAGGTGTATAATCTTTGTGTTTGCTTTTAATGTGGTTGAAATAAAATTAAGCGACAGGGACATTGCACAATAAAAATTATTTATTATCACAAAGAAAATGTATTTATTGTTATGAAAAGAAATATATATGATACAAGGTTTAACTTATCAGAAAATTTTTACTTAAGAATCAAAACTATATATTACACAGAGGGGATTCAGAATAATATTTGCCTCGGCGACAGTAACGTACATTTCAAATAGGCTACTATATTTGAATTTGGAACTCCTTAAATACCCTTTCAGATCGATAATTATATGAATTCTTATTCATTGTTATATGACTATTTATAATGTTGATTTAAAAATTACATCAGTGGTATTTCTTTTAAATGAAAATGAGGCGACATTATTTGAGCCCTTATATTGAGAATGGGTGATGAAGAAATTCCACAATTTTTATCCATATAATGTACATTAATTTCTTTTATTTACTTCGATCATTTTACAATGCAAAGTATAAAGATTCTCCTGTCATTGCAAAGCTCCATAAATCACTTCTAATTTCATATCATGTTTATAAACATTGGTATTTATGGTTAGATTAAAATGAACATCAATTTCTTCACATATGTATTTCTAAAATGCTTTTACAGGGTAAAAATTTCAACTTTTAATTAGACCTTTCTGAGAACTTCAAAGAACCTTGAAGCACATTAAGAGGCATATAATGAAAATTATTGCATGAAAAGATATAATTTTCAAGCTTCATTTTGAGACTTTTTGAATTAAATTATAAAATAAAGAGTTGTCCTTCCTGGCTGAGGATCGGAGTCCCTTAATTCAACATTTATTATCTAATTTAAATAAACAAAACTTTCCAGATTTGGGCAACAATAAACTTCTTCATGCACATTAAAAGAAAGAGGAGACTTAGCCAAGATTTTTTGAGATTTAAACAGTAATACATTGAATATTGTATAAACTTTCAAAGAAAAAACTTGAAAAAAAAACTAAAGAAACTAATTCAAAAGAAATCACCAAGATACAATTTTTGGGGGGCTTTGTATGAATATCCTTGACCTTTGGACCAGAACATCTTTGACCTTATAGGACCAGAATATTACAGATGCTATTTTTAAGTTACTAGGAGCTATGATATGCTTCATTTAAAAAGCTTAAAAAGAAACAAAGTATCATTCTTTTGCAATATACATTGACTTAAAATAAGTCTTAGGGCCTTAAATCTATGTTAAAGGGAGTTTGTGATATATGTTATTCCTATGTAAAATCTCAGACTTAGTTATGGTACAGGAACTTAAATACTTACTAAGCAGACAAAATGCATCATGGATTTCTCACAGGTACTTGTGGACTGGACCCCTCCCCCACCACTCCGGTTTGTTTATGTTGTACCCCCACTAGTCATTCTGGGTTTAAAAACATGTATTTATATCATTTTCACCTAAAATGTTGGTCCACACTGTCTCTACATATATTTCTGTCTCAGTCCATGCTATCGGATTGACTCTGCAGTTCGTAAAAATCCCACAATATCTCCTAAAACAGCATGTCCACTAGCACCTGTGGGATTTCTGTCCTTGACCTCTGACCTTTTCATCTCAAAATCTTATAGGGTGTTGTGATATAGTTTCATTGAAAAAGGTCAAAAGCTTTATTTTTTCAAACATTCAAATAGAAAGCATTAATGTTAATCTTTGACCTTTTTACAATTCATTAGAATTTTTTTTTTTTACGCCATAAGGAGTTATTATATAAAATTCATTGCAAAAGCTCAAAAGCTTTTTGAAATAACATCCAAAAATGAAGTGTTTCACATTGAGAGATGACAGACTGGTGGATACACCCAAATTTTTCAGTGAGAGTGGAGCACAAACACTATCTATCAGGATGTTAAATTTTTAACAATATACTGCATCTTCAAATGATTGATGCTTTTGGGTCAAAATGTCCAGAAAAGTGTATCAAGAAAAAAACATTTTCTGCAGTGACTATCGCAAAGTCAATGAAGAATAGAACTTATTCTACAAAGTCCAAAAAATGATGACATTTTGAAAGCATTGCTGCACAGATACTTTTTTTCAATAAGATCATTTATCTACTTAAAACCATACACTGAGCTTATTCTACAAAGTCCAAAAAATGATGACATTTTGAAAGCATTGCTGCACAGATACTTTTTTCAATAAGATCATTTATCTACTTAAAACCATACACAGCTTATACAAACAAAAAATGATGACATTTTGAAAGCATTGCTGCACAGATACTTTTTTTCAAAAAGATCATTTATCTACGTAGACATACACTGATAAAACATATTCAGGTATTACAAAGCAACTTTAAGATGCATTGACTGAGTCACAAACAATATACACATGACAATGGATTCTCAGTCACTGATGGAACAGATTAAGACGTACGTCCTGCTCATTGTTCTTATTGTTCAGGCACACTGCACTATGTCACTAGAAACTCTGCACAGCAATTTAATCCAGAGGTGCAAATTAATAGATTTATATGACAATCTGAAGGTAAGTTTCCTTATATTTGTCACCAAAACTAATAGTATTTTTTCTTTTTAAAAAATTATTCCCATCCACAGTTTTTCACTTTCTTGAAGTATTTTGTTTAAATCAGCTACAAATGATACTGAATTTGTAATATATGTTATTTAATGATGCGTTCATTGAATTTTTGATTTTCGCAAATATCCAAATTAATTTCCCTTTTTAAAATTTCAAGCTATGAATAAGACTTCGGGTAAGGAAACCTCCACAGTGAATATCACATACAAACCATCAGCAAAAGAACCTGCTGTTCCCAATAACACAAACAAAACAGCTGGAAAAGAATTCACAGGGGTATCAACTAAGCGGCCTAATCAGAAACAACGAAATCGCCAAAAAGTTACGAAAATAATTTCTCCAAAGAAAGTGTACGCAGAATGCTCCACACAAACCGAGGAGGAATGCTCAACAGACGTTAATCAGCTGACAAAAGCGGCTCACATTATCTACTCCTTCTGTCATACAAATGCAGGTGAACTTTTGCCCATTGAAAAAGTCTTAGATGAGTCCTCAAAGATTCTGCAGGCCCTCGCTCAACTTAGCAAGTCTTTTGACTTCTCGGACATCCCAGAATCCATTCCTTTCACCAAGAAGTTGCGAGAAGAGGTAAAATCTATTGAAAAGTGTCACAACCGCTGCAGGGAGCTTGTTTCTTCAGAAGAACTACAGTCCTTCTTGCCAAAAACAAAACTCAAAGGCCTTGGTACACTTGTCCACTGTAAGATGCTATTAGAAGAGTTTAAGCTCAGAGAAAGAAAGTTTAGACAAGCTGTGATAAGTATTATAGAATCTGAAAATCTGGGACTCAAAAGAGCTGAAAACATCTTGTCAAAGATGGACCACAAAGAGCAAATTCACGACTTGGTGGATAGTGTTGCAGAAAACCAGAGAATTTCCAGCAACAAAGATAAGGATGAACTGCATGACCAATACCGAGAGATAAGCATCAAGCAGAAAAACCAAATCCAGAAACTGGAGATGAAGTTAGAAAAATACGAGGAAGACAAAGAAAAGATAAGGGATGAGTGCAGAAGACAGGTGATAGAAATAGAAAAAGGTCTTATATTGTGTAATCAACAATGGGAGCGAAAACTGCAGGAACAATCAAACAAACTGGAACTGTATGATTCAGAAAAAACAAAGTTACTAAGATTACTAGAAGAAGAAAAGCAGAAGATAGCCCACAGAGATATTGAAACCAGAAAGCTTAACAAACTGTATCACGAAACAAAAGACAAATTAAAAGAAACGGAAAAATTAAACTACAACATGTCAAAGGCCAGGCGAAAGTCCCATAAAAATTTAGTTGATAAAGCATGCAGCGCTAACCTGAAAGCAGAATATACTAGTACCCACTGCCAAACAGAAAATTCCATTTCAGTGCCCAAATCAAACACTTCTGGTTTTAGTTCTAACACAGCTTTGTCTTCAGCTGATCAACAGAAAATGAGCTCTCACAATAAACATCAAAATCACTTCCACGGCCCAATAAATAATGTCCATCTCTATCAAATCTTTCCTGAGAGAAGTTCTAATTCCTCAATACCTCACAAAGAATCTGTACAAAGTGGAAAGAGCAGGTCTAGCTCTCGCCTGCATATCTCTACAGGAACACGGAGGCAATCGTTGACCAATCAAAATCAAGAACAAAGCGTGACTTTTGAACACCATGAAGAGACTGAATTTGTTTATCGCTCAGAATCAACCATGTCTTTTGCAAATTCTGATTCTCTACACGGAGACGATTATTAATGACAAACTTAAAATCAAATAATAAGAGTTATCTCCCTTTCTTCCTTCCATGTCTTGAAATCTGTGCAAGCTAGCAGAAAGCATGAACAGGTGTGAATTTTAGTGAAATAATAATTTTCTTTGACTGACCTTTGATGTAGAAGTCAATCCTATTGTAAAGATGAAATGATACATTGAAATCAATTAAATATAAATGCTTAAACAACAAGCATAAATAATCATTTATATGTGTATGTAAATTATGTTCTAACACTCAATGTTTTATTATTTATTTATTTATTTATTTATTTTTTTTTCGTTATTTCTATTTACTGTTATAATTTCATTCAGAACAAAAATCATGTAATATTGTCACTGCATTGTTTCTTCAAGGCTAACTGATTCAATGCCATGTACAAAGATAGTAATTATTGTAACAATTGTATCTGTACGTGGATCCAGTAATCATTGCTGGCAACTATTCATCAAAACTAGTAACAATAAAACATCCAAATCTTAAATCCGTATGTGTGTGTTTTTACATGCCCTTGAAAATTTACAGAAAAAAAAGAAACAAATTAACAGCAGTTAAAAGGAAATGGTAAAAAGGATCAAGGGAAAAAGCAATAAAAATTGAAAATAAGATCCTTTCAACTGTAATTCTAATTGAAAGTCAACAAAATGGTAATTACATTTCAAAACTTGAACACAACAATGCTCTGAGGTGTCGGTTTTTGTACATTGTCAATGGCTTACTGTGAGAGAAGGGCCCTAGAGAATTGTCGGACCACCCTGGTGGAAAGACTCCACCCTACAACCCAGTTCCTGGGGTGGTTTGTACAGCATGGGGTCATGAAGGGGAGAGACTTCAACAAAATTACGGTTTGTAACTGTAGCGAAAATATAACTGCCCATATTTTTTAAACAAATTTATTCACATTTTAAACATCCTATAAATTGTTTATTTTGGGATAAAAAAAATCCAAGGCATTAAAATGACTTTATCTCTCAGGAAATATATTATGGATAACAATTCTTAATTTTAGTCAAGCTACTCAACATGTAATTTTTGTTCAGGATATAAGCACAATGTCACAGAGGACAGAAAACTTCCTCTTTCAAGTGATAGCCAGAAAACCTGGAGCTCTGAAATTCCTCATCCACAAACTGAAGGCTGACAAACGCACAGCAGACCTCGCCAAGAAACTGAAAGATGAGGTGGAACAAGTGGAATTTATCCGCAGACAGAAGGTGGAACAAAGAAAACACAGGAAGATCCTCAAGCTCCAACAAGAACTCAGCAACCTCTACTTGTTTGCTTTTGGTGAATACTTTGTAAATGATAATTCCATAGACTTTCACTTACAAAAATTTAAGGTAGTCCGATCCTCAGGTTTATAAAATTAGCTGTTAAGTGATTAGAAATACTCATAAAAGTATCTCTGAATCCACAAAGTTATGTAAATTTATCCACAGTATTTCTTTAAAGTTAAAGGTTTAAGTTAATCATATCATATAGGAAAAATTGTCAAAATTCCAATATTTTTGCAGAAAAAGAGAATTGGAATATCAGCAATGCATTTTCTAATTGCAAATTGATCAACAAATATATTTTAGGTTAAAAAACGATAGGTATCCAGGCATTCAGAGATACTGTCATGATTTTTACACTTATTTGGTATTTTTTTTCTTTTATTTCCATCGTGTATTCTATATTCATAGTATAAAAGGCTTTTGGTATCATTGCAAGACACCACAAATCACTTCTAATTTCATATCATGCTATTAAGCATTGGTATCTAAGGCTGGATTCAAGAAAATCTTATTTCTCTTAAACTGTATTAATTTTATTCCCTTTTGTAGGGTACAAATGTCAACTTTTATAAGACCTTTTCTGAGAGTTCCAAAAACGTTGAATCTTATATAGATAAATAGAATGAAAATTGTTGCATGAAAAAAAATCATTTTCAAGCTTCATTTTGATGTATTTCAAATTAAATATTAATTTTTGGAGTTATCTTTCCTGACTGAGGATCGGATATCCTTAAAGTAGCCATAAGCACAATCATTTCAGCATATCAGGAACTACAGCACACCTTTGGCCATGCTAAATCATTTCCAGAGATGGTCAAAATCATCCTGGCTAAAAATGCCGAGTTCGTTATGTGGATGAGGGAATTAGAAGCAGTACAGACAGCTATGGTAGATTTGAAATCAGACTATAAGAGAAGAACTTGTGTCATCAGGGAACAGTTAAAAAAGTATGAACAGAAGAACAAAGACCTGGAGGTTGAGAACGAGACACTCAGGCAAAATGTTGTAAGGACAAGGCAAAGTGTGTATAGAAAATCTGGTCCACAAAAAATTGCTTAAAAATTGATAATTAACATTCACACAACTGTTTCATTTCTTTTTCCAACAAAAACATAAACATCTCTAATTTTTTACAACAATGTTATAACTTTGAAACGAGTTGTTATGAAACTATGCAACATATGTTGCTGTAGGTCCTAAATATGACCAAAAAGGTAAGTCAAAACAGGTATTGCATCTTAGAAAATATTTGGTATGTTTGACAAAATATGAAACAGATGTGAAAATTGCTAAGTAAAATTGACACATGCAATTTACATTCTCAAAAAAAATACTAAGCATTAATAAAGAAGAATAAATCACATTTATTTTTATTTTGTTTTGCTAATGTTTTTGTGCATACAGTTGTACCTGCTATTATGGACACCTTTATTCAGCAGCCACTACCCATGAGCGACCAGTTTCAATCCTGCCCATTCATTTTTTCTCGATCTACTCCTACAGTTTTTGTCCGATTTCTTTATAACTTAGTACAAAAGATGACTACACAAGATGCATAAATCTGTCAGATTTTTTTTTCCTGAACCTTGATGCCATGGTTACTAAAAATTTTCTGTGAAATACTTTCAAAATGCTACTTCTCCTACAGTTTTAGTTTGATTTCAATATAATTTGGGGCACAAGTAGACTACAAGATACATAATTCTGTGCATCTGTTTTTTTTAATTTGATGAACTGTTTTGCCATGGTTACTAAATAAAGAGAATTTCAAGTTGTTACTTCTTCTTCATACTCATTTAATATCAATATAATTTGGCATACAATAGACACCACCCTTGTTCCCTGGCATGTCTTTTACTTGTCACTTCAAGGCTTGGCACCAAATGCAATGGGAGAGGAGAAATATGCAACGGACCAGACCGGGATTCAAATCTTGGCGCCTTGAATCTTAAGTCAGATGCTCTATCTACTGAGCAAACTTGCCATAGGCAATTGAACCTACCTGACCATTGCATTCCTATCTCCTTAAAAGACCATCCCCCAAAGACACAAATCAAGGCTCTTCCCTGGCAGTTCATTCACTTTTCACAGCTTTATTTGTAATTGGTAAGAAGAAAAAATGGTAATGTCAAGACTGGAATTTGAATGCATAGTCAAGTGCTCTACAAACTGAGCGTTCCGGCCTCCCATAATAGAACCAGTCTTACTGCCATATATTTTTCTCCCCTTAAATGCCATCATCCCTTAAAGAAACCAACCTAGCCTCTTTCCTTGCAGGTCTTTCACCAGCCACTTTAAGATAATGGCTTGGCACCAAATGTATTGGGAGTGAAATAAAATACAAAGGACCAGACAAGGATTCAACCTGGGCCCCCTGAATCTTAAGTCTGGTGCTCTACCAACTGAGCTAGCGAGCCGGCCACAGGCAATCAAACCCAACTGACCATCTCAATAAAAGATCCCCCCTAAAAGACACCAAACCAGGCTCTTCCCTGACAGGTCTTTCACTTGTCATGGCTTTATTTGTGATTGGCAAGAAGAAAAATGCTACAGTCCAGACTTACATTTGAACCCAGGCCCGTGAATCTCCAGTCAGGTGCTCTACTTGCTGAGCTTTCTGGCCTCCCTTAATAGAACCAGTGTGACTGCCACATTTACTCTTTCCAAAAAATGCCTTCAACCTGCCCCCACCCCCTCCCCCTACCCCTGGAAACCAACCAAAGCTCTTCTCGGGCAGGTCTTTCACTGGTCACTTCAAGGGCATAGTTTGGCACTAAATGTAATGGGAGAGAGAACAATGCAATGGACAATCCCAGAATTCAAATCTGGGCCCCCGGTATCTTATTCAGCTGCTCTATCTACTGAGCTAGCTGGCCACAGGCGACTGAACCCATCTGACCACTGCATTCCTCTCTCCTTAAAAGACCACTCCCAAAGACACCAACCAAGGCTCTTCCGTGGCAGATCTTTCACCTGTTACTGTGGAATCATTTTTATTCGTGGGGGTCAATGTTCGTGGGTAACCAAAAATGTTCTGGTTAGTAGGGACGTCGTAATTTCGTTGGTAACAAGTTCTGTTTCATTTTTTTTTTCTCCAAAGTTAAAACAAAGAAGGATAACTCCGTCAATGTTGCTTATTTAAGTTATCTGTCTTGTGAACACAAAAATGTACCGGCGGCTTACAGCGGAAAATTACAGCCATGATGTCGCAGTAAATTATGATTATAAAGAACACCAGTTGTATGCGTAATATGTTTTGAGAACGACGACGGCAATGCCAAAATTGACTTTTAAACGTCTACCCTGAAACCAATTTATGCTAATTAGCTAATTAGCACCAACTCCAAAATCCCACTGAAAATTGATCTCATCAAAGGGGAATTTGAGCGTGTTGGACTATAATGTAAACACTACAGTAACTTAAATTTAACAGTTGTATTTACCATTTTATTACTTATTGTATATAGTTATCGATGTCTTTGATACTTAATTTTTTTGTTTGGTTTTGTGTCAATAACCATATACAGATTGTCTTCTTTATGTGCGATCACAAGGACAAGTATAACGGTTATTTTACGATTTAAAATAGTCTGTGTAATCGTAACTTTTTAAAACAAATAATAAAACAAATGTTTGAATATACATTAGTGGGGATGAAAATTCGTGGGTCAGGGTTACCCACGAAAGCCACGAACATTGGTCCCCCACAAACTATGATGATTCCACAGTACTTCCAGGGCATGGCATGGCATGGCATGGCATGGCTCTATACGTCTTTTCAGAGAGGAGTAAAATGCAACAGTCCAGACTGGAATTTGAACCCAGACCCCATGAATCTCTAGTCAGGTGCTCTGTCTGGCCACCCACAAAGAACCAGTCTGACTTCCACATTTTTCTCTCCTTAAATGCCTTCAAACCCCCCCACCCCCCCCAACCCAAGAATAAATTCAAGCTCTGCTATGGCAGATTTTTTACCAGTCACTTCAAGGGAATGGCTTGGCACCAAACATAATGGGAGAAAATAAAATGCAACAAACCAGACTAGGATTCAAACCTGGGCCCCCTGAATCTTTAGTCAGGTGCTCTACCAACTGAGCTAGCTGGCCACTGGCTATCCAAACCATCTGGTAACTGCATTCCTCTCTCCTTAAAAGACCATCCCAAAAGATATCACCCTAGGCCCTCCCCTGGCAGGTCTTTCACTTGTTATGGCTTTATTTGTAAATAGTGAGGGGGGAAAAATTTGACAGTCCAGACTTGGATTTTAACCCCAGCCCCCTGAATCTCTAGTCAGATGATCTACTTAGTGAGCTATCAGAACAAGTCTGCTTGCCACATTTTTCTCTCCTTAAGAGCCTTCACACCCCTCCCCACCCAAAGAAATGAACCCAAGCTCTCCTCTAGCAGGTCTTTCACCAGTCACTTCAATGGAAAAGGTTTGGTACCAAATGTAATGGGAGAGAGAAAAATGCAATGGATCAGCCCAGGATTCAAACTGGGCCACCTGAATCTTTAGCCAGGTGCTGTGCTCTATCAACTGAGCTAGCTGGCCACAGGCAACTGAACTCATCTGACCATTGCATTCCCCTCTTCTTAAAAGATCATCCCCCAAAGACACCTACCTAGGCTCTTCCCTGCCAGATATTTCATCTGGCACTTCCAGTGCATGGCATGGGTCTATTACATTATTGGATAGGAGAAAAATGCAACAGTCCAGACTGGAATTTGAACCCAGGCCCCCTGAATCTCTAGAAAGGTGCTCTACAATCTGAGCTATCTAGCCTCCCACAACAGAACCAGTCTGCCTGCCACATTTTTCTTTCCTTAAATGTCATCATAACCCCAAGAACCAACCAAAGCTCTTCTCTGGCAGGCTTTTCACCAGTCATGCACTTCAAGGGAATGGCTTGGCACCAGATGTAATGAGAGTTGAATTAAATGCAACAGACCAGACGAGGATTCAAACCTGGGCCCTCTGAATCTTTAGTCAGGTGCTCTACCAGCTGAGCTAGCTGGCCACTGGCAATTGAACCCATCTGACCCCTGCATTGTACTGTATAAGTGGAAATTTTAGCGAGACGCAAATTTAGTGATTTGTCCTTAAAATTTGGTAATTTAATTTTTGCGAGTAGTTATTTTAGCGATTTTAAAATGCTCACTAAAAATCTATTTCAAATTAAACACAGTTTATTTTTTAGCAATATGTAATTTTAGCAATCTCGGAACCCTCGCTAATAATGCCAAAATTAAATCTTCGCTAAAAATTCTGCTTATATGGTATGTCTTCTCCTCAAAAGACCACCCCCCCAAAGACACCATTCTAGGCTCTCTCCTGGCAAGTCTTTCACCTATCACTTCCACAGCATGGCATGGCACTATATGAAAATGGAGAGGAGTAAAATGTGACAGTCCAGACTGGAATTTGAACCCAGACCCCATGAATCTCTAGTCAGGTGCTCTACTGAATGAGCTATCTGACCTCCCACAATACAGTCAGTCTGACTGCCACATTTTACTTTCCATAAATGCCTTCACTCCCCCAAAGAACCAACCCAAGCTCTTCTCTGGCATGTCTTTCACCAGTTACTTCAACAAAATGGCTTGGCACTAAATGTAATGGGAGAAAATAAATGCAATGGACCACACCAGGATTCAAACCAGGGCCCCCTAAATGTTTAGTCAGGTGCTCTACCAACTGACCTAGCTGGCCACAGGCAATTGAACCCTTCTGACCACTGCATTCCACTCTTCTTAAAAGACCACCCCAAAAGACACCACCCTAGGCTCTTCCCTAGCAGGTCTTTCACTTGTCACCGTTTATTTGTAATTGGTGAGAAGAAAAATGTGACAGTCCAGACTTGGATTTTAACCCAGGCCCCCTGACTCTCTAGTCAGGTCACCCACAATACAACCAGTCTGACCCCCACATTTTTCTCCTTTAATTCTCCCCCCTCCCCCCCAAGAAACAAACCCAAGCTCTTCCCTGGCAGGTTTTTCACTGTTCACTTCAGGGGAATGGCTTGGCACCAAATGTAATGAGAGAGAGATAAATGGAATGGTTTACCAGGATTTAAGCCTGAGCTAGCTAGTCACTGGCATCAAACCAACCTTACCAATGCATCCCCCCCTGAAAAAGACCATCTCCAGAAGACTCCAAAAAAGGTTTTTCCTTGGAAGGTCTTTCACCTGTCACTTCCAGGGCATGGCATGGTTATTTATGTAACTGAAGAGAAGAAAAATGTGACAGGTGGGACTAGAATTTCAGGCCCCCTGAATCTATAGTCAGGTGCTTTACTCACTGAGCTTTCTGGCCATCCAAAATTGAACCAGTTTGACTGCCACATTTGTTTCTCAATAAATGCCTTCAACCCACCCACCTCCAAAGAAAACAACTCAAGCTCTTCTCTGATAGGCCTTTATCATCACTTCAAGGCTTAGCACCAAATGCAATGGGAGAGGAGAAAAATGCAATTGACCAGCCCAGGATTCAAACCTGGGTCCCCTGAATCTTAGTCAGGTTCTGTATCTACTGAGCTAGCTGACCACAGGCAATTGAACCCATCTGAGCACTGCATTCCCCTCTCCTTTAAAGATCCCCCCAAGACACTAACCCAGCCTATTCCCTGGTAGTTTTTCACCTGTCACAACTTCTTTTGTAATAAAATCATATGTTCTTAAATGCAGGTCACGGTTACCCACTTTTCAGTTGACTTTCTCCAAGGACCAAAGATGCAGCAACTGACAAAGTTTGATGAATGTAAGTCAATCAATACTTTATAATCCTAAATCTTTTATAATTTTTGCTTTTCGTCAATGTTAAATGAAAACACAAACTCAAATTACATGTATTCTTGAGTTGATATTGCAATTGCCTGAAGGTGTTATGTCGGCGCAAGTGGCAAACTAAGTTTTTTGTGGCACAACTTGAAGAATCAAGTTGTAATACAGTGGAGCCTCATTTATCCGGACGCTTTGGTTCCCAGTCAATTTGTCCGGATATGTGAAGCGTCCGGATATCTGAATTGCCAGTTAAATGAGACAAAATAACATTTCAAAATTCTGTTCCCATGAATAATCGTCAGGAAAATGAAGCATCCGGATATCTGGGGTCTGGATATCTGAAGTTCCACTGTATTCAGATTCAGCTTTAATATGAAGGGGTATCATGTAACAGTTGTGGTCTTTTAGTTTCTGACAGAGACATGTCTCTGGTTTCTGATCACACTTCACGCCCCTTGCTGCAATATTTTACCTTGAAAAGGGCAAATAACTTTATTTATAACAATTTATAGCACATCCAACCTGAACCGGTATTCACAAAAAAAATACCGCGATACGTATTGTAAAGAATGAAATCGGGATACACTGGTTAACCAGTAATAACGCACAGCACTAATTATCTCCCCTTGTTTAAGGGTCAATTTCCTAGGTTTATTAAAAACAGATGCCCTTGGGCTCAAGGATACTAAGTGACAAATTTTACTAGGCCAAAGAGTTCTTGAGTTATGGCCCATATTATTTCAAAAACTTTAAAACACTCACAAATGGCCAAAACATTAGCTCTTTCAGCATTTGGCTCAGATGAACTAAAAACTGTATGCACAGTAGATGTAGTCTTTTGAAAGTATTTCATAAAATTTTCTATTTTTTAGTTACCAAGGCAACATCATGTTTAAAACTCAAAATCCAATTTAAAGATTTAAATGTCTTTTCTACATTTGTGCCCAGATCACAACTGTAGAAGGAGAAGCGCAAGTTGTTACAGTTTTCAAAGGTAACTTGTGAAATTTGGATTTCAATGAATTTAAATGAAATATATGGAGATAAAAGTGTGCACAATTATTATATTTATATGCTAATTTATGGGATAATTGTTTTGAATTAAATTGTGTCAAAACAATATGTATTTTTGTGTCCCTCTCCTAACTTAAATAACAGAAATTATAAAATTGTACACTTCTGAACTGGAGGCATTTTTCACAAAAGAACCTGGGTAGGATATCAAAATTCTGTCATTTGTACTGTCCTACACCGTGAAACTAACACACCTAGAGTATTTCATAATTACTGACTGGTAAAGTTCTACTGACTTTCACATATGATCACCCTTAAAGAAAAGACAATATCTTCACAAGCTTAAATTTCAAGTCTTCTTTCTTTTAAATCATTGATTCATTAAACAATTTCGTTCAAAATAGGAAACAAATTTAGAAGGAAAGTATCACATACAAATTAGAATTTGCATGACACAGCCAGGCTAAATTTGTAAGTATTATTTAAAAAACAAATCAAATATGCAATTTATATAATTCATTTACTACACCTGAAAATATTCTTTTTAATCTAATTTTAATCTGAATTCTATTTTTTAAAGCAAAGCATGGATACCAGTGAGCTGTATGCTTTGGAGACTTGTCGGAAAGACATCAGTAATAATCTTCTGGTGACCGATGCTGTTCTACGTCGACTGGAAAGTACGGACATGATATCCCACCGGGATAGAATGTGTTTCATGGTAATCAGTCTCATAAAACAATTCAATTAAATAACTACACTTAAGGACAACTCTAAAGCAATCTTGCTCCAAAACAAAATTTACCTGCTTTTGTGCAACAATGATTTATTTTACAATAATGAATTCTGGTTTTTTTTTTGTTTCAGAGAATAAGACAGAGTTCAAAGAGAAACACCCAATTAGCAGAGATAATGCGCAAGAAAGAAAAAGGTTTCAGTGCATTTACGGAAGCTTTAATGCTTGAGAGGAACATAAACCAATACTGTGTGGATAAAATGCAAAAAATGGTGAAGCACCATAAGCAGCAGCACAGGCTCAGAGAACTAAAAGAAACAGATCTTGTCACAGATGGAAAACCATTCAGGGACACGAAAAAATGTCCCAAGCCCTCAGTGGTGTTTGAGAGCTTCTACAATTCAGTGGCTCCACTGGTTCATGGTGATAATAAAGAAAACTGTATGGAAAATACAGAGAAGCAAAGCTGTGATGGCAGTGACATTGTGAAGGCCCTCAAACACTGCAGAATGGCACTGGATCCCAAAGAGGAAAATTCAGATGTTTCATTAAAAGACCTGCAAAGCAAATACCTTCAGAAGAAACTGCAGACCATTGCCGATGATCTTCGATCAGAAAGAAGCATGTGGAAGAAAAGGATGGAAAGTCTCCTAGTAGAAAATGATGAATTAACAACAAAAGTGGAAGAACTTGAAAGTGAGCTACAGCAGGAACGGGATGAAAAAGACAAAATAATTCGTGAAACAGTGGACAGAATTGTCAAAGAGAGGCTGCTTCGACTAAATCACGTAGATACTAAAACTTCCTCTAAACCCAGTGTGACCATCAACATTCACAACCATGGACATTTTCAAATGGGTGGTACTAATGCCATGGACCTGGACTCTGATTCAACATCAGAATCGGACCAATCAGAGAAGCCGGACTATGAGAATCAGAATACACCGGACTTCCCTGGTCTGGCAGACAGCGTTCTGTATTAATTGGGACCAATTTTCAAAATCTACATCAAACTCCTATTATCAATGACTTTTGAATGCTTCTGTGTGTTGTTTTACTTAAACAATAAAATGTTTTCTTTGGTTGTTAGTACAGAAATTAATGTCGCAGCTTCTGCAGGAAAAAATACACACAAAAATACAACAGCTGCGACATTAATCCCTGTACTTACAACAAAAGAAAGCATTTTATTGTTTACATTTATATCCAAATAATCATTTAAAGTATGATTAAAAAGATTAGTTACTGTATTATTGATATGTATCACAGTACATTTCATTGATAGAACAGCCACTGATCAAGAAATCTGTACAGGTAATATGCCTAGTGTTGTTCATGAACTGATAAATGGCAATAGTTTTCTTAAGAAATAAAGGAGAAAATATTCAGTGGATGTAAATATTTTTTTTTGAAATGGAATTAACTTAAGTGCGCAACTTGAAATGATTTTTTACTCTCAACCTTCAATGATATTAAAGTAAATATTAAGTGCCACAAAGTAATATGTTTTCATATATCTATATATATCAGATTTTAATTTATATGAAAATCATTCAGATCATCATACTCATTAACCCTAAGTTTATATTTTCTCATTCCTTCAAGAAATTTATATAGTCCTATAATTCTATTTTAATAAAGCCTTCCTTTCTACCTACAGGTAAAAATAAATAATCAGAACTTCAATGTAACTCTTCATAAATTTATCAAAGAATGCCATATAAATAAGTTACAAATAGCCACTCTAAAAGAAATTTTAGGGATACTTCTCAATATAGGTCTACTTCAAATGATCTTTGTTTACACAAAGTTCTTAATCTCCCTCAATACACAGAATGAGGGGGTCCATGTGATAATTAAAGGACAGACAGCTGCCAAAAAGGAGTACAATATTAGTGTCAATACCCCAATACACATTTAAAAAGTAGAGGAAATTTATTGACAGTACTCCAAACTAAGGAGTTGAACAGCGTCCAATCACCAAAATAAAGGCAATAACACGGAGAGAATTTAAATATCCCTAGGTTGGACACTCAACATAAGGCTTTTAATTCTTGGTCATTTAAATCCAAGGTAGTCATTGACGTCACAAAGTAAATGAAATACTGACACAGTTCTAATGTAATGTTCACATGCGTTTGGGAAATCCCAGCTATTGGCACCACGATCGGACGGGTGGCATTCACAGCCTTGACCAACTGAGATTTCTGTGGGTAAGTACATAGAGTCCTCCTATCTAATACAATATGTTACATTTTTCATAACCCTTATGGTCAATTAATTTCGACAGTATTGGAAAGTCTTCTGTTCCAAGTCCTGCATAATAAAATTAAATGATAGTGACAACTGACTTGCGGACACTATCCATCAAAAGATAATTTCATGAGAATGAAATACCAATTTCAAACTATTTTTCAATTTTTGAAAGACACAATGATTAATATTTTTTTTATCTTGAAAATATTCTTTGTTTGAAATTAAGATCATATCAAAAAACGGGGTTTCTGTGTAACCAAATCAAAATTCACCTGAGGTCTTTAACTGTCATTTTTTAACAACTGTATCAATATCAAATCATTCTCTGAATTTTTAATTTATCTTACATGTTTAAGTAGTGATAAGCATGCTCCTAAAATACTGATTTTTTGCCAACTTTAACCCGATTTACGTCACGCAACTCTAAAATTGGTGTGTCTCCGTCTACTTTACTCATTTAAATGTCACAGGAGAAGACGAAAGGTGTTATGTTTTGAGAGAGGACAAGCAAATCAATTTCTTTTTTATTATCTTAAACAGGACCTTTCTCAAGAAACACAACAATGGACCCAGCAGAACGTCAGGCTCTACATAATGTTAAGGAGGAACTCCAGAATTGTGCCGTTATCACAGACAAGATGCTGGTTCACTTCTTACAGAACCAGAAAATCACAAAGGCTGAAAAATATGAACTCTCAGTAAGTAGATCTCACTTTTCCTTTAAAAGAATCTATATAAAGTTACTTTTTTTTTATACCTTAATTCATTAACTTTATCATAACTTTGAACAAGAAATTAATTCTTTCACTTGATTTTTACAGAGGCTTGGTGCCAACTGTCAGAGAGTAAAGAGAATACTGCAGATCATGAAGAACCGAAAGGAGTCTCTGAAAACTCTAACAGAAGCACTTCTTCTTGATGTGAAAAATGACTACATTGTTCAGAAACTTCGGAAGAAAGTTCGATTCTGTCGAAAACGCCTCCAAGCTCAGGAAAACCAGACATCCTCATACTTTGGGCAGCTAGATGATGTGGCAGATATTCTTTACACACGTGGATATTTGACAATATATGGAGAATCTAAAAAAGTCACTGCAGGGACAAGCCATCAAGCTCTGGTGGAGGACATTAACAAATTCGTTGGAGATATCACCAAATGTCGCCAGAGTTTGGAGCCTTCAAGTGAGAGACAGAGTTTTCAAGAAATCATCGCCGAATACAAAGAAAAGAAACACCAGGAAATTGAAAACGCAAAACTTGTGTGTGCCAAACTTGTGAAAAGCAAAAACAGTGACCTAGAAGATAAACAGAAGCATATCAAAGACTTACAAGATGAACTTACGAAACTGAAAGTAGAGAATGAATCCATGCGGAAGAAAATGGGAATAGAAATCAAAACTAAGGTACAGGAGAATGTGGACCGGCTTCTAATGCTTCCTCGTCTGTCTCCCGCTGATCCCGTACCTTACGTCGAAACAGAGGAGGATATTCTGGACAGGAAGTTACGGCAGCGTTCCTCGGTAAAACGCCCCGAGCCTCAGGAACATGCTCTTTCCGACTCGGAGTCTGACTGCGAGTCTGACAGTGATCTTCCTGTGTCAAATAAAATGACCACCTCCACGACCCAAAAAGGATCAAAAATCGTCCATAACTACAATATCTATAACAACCATATGTACAGTGACACAAAAATTTATCAAAATTAGATAAAACTTTGTAGTGAATCGTAGATAGAAAATTGTTATGTTTTGTTAATGTTATTAGAATGTTTAACAATTTGTTAAATTTGTTACAAATAAATTTATTAAAGTTTGTGGTTTTCTTCTTCAAATGACCTCCATACTTATATGCCTGCCAAAATTCCTTCCCAGAATTGGTCTACCATCTTGAATTGGTGCCAAAGTCAATACTGACCACCTTTACTTACAATGCCAGAGTTAAGGGGACAAAGAATGGAAAAAAAGACCCCATTGACAGAAGGGATTTAGCATGGCTTAAAACTGGATAAAGCCATTAAGCTTAAACAGAATACACTACTTTTTGAGGAATAGATCAATAGATTTTGGGGGAAAATATTCAATAAAGATAAAATAGGACCAATTCCATTTTAAAGTTGCAAGAAAAAGCTTGCAGAGAGTGACTCATTTCCTTCTTTTTTAGAGAGGGGAAACATAAATCTGAACCAAATTAATGTTCATTTTAATCTTCCCTTTACTGGTACTTTCAACTGACTTAACTGCATATGATATTACTGATACTAACCACAACTGTGTCAAATGTAATGGTCATTCAATTCTTTTTTAGTAGCAACTACATGTCACCTGTCAATACGTGCATATTGAACTCACTGTTTATAAGTATATAAATCTGGGTACCCCAATAAAACCCTCCTTGGTTTACATAATACTGTTAGCTAAAAAAGATTATCAAGTTATACATGAGATTATTACACTCTTATTGGGCAATTCAAATAAAACACCAAAGGAATTCTAAGTACAATATGCATATCTATGGAATAAAAGCTTTATTTAAAGTGTAACAGGGCATTTAAATCCATAGCGATGACTCATAAACAGGTATCAATAGTACTTACAAAGTGTTTAAACAGAGACAAAAGCAGTTATCGTGAGTTCCAAATCATTGATTTTAATGCCTGAACTGAATATAAAAAAAATATCCACTGAAATAATTTCTAACCACAAGAACATTAAATCAATTGCAGATTTCCTGATTTATGCCTTGTTTATTTTTTATTCATTTTGTAGACATATGTTTAGTCCTAAGAAAATTATTATAGTACACAATACCTGAGCGGTACTAATTAAACTATACGTCATGCAGAATTAACTTAAAAGGACATCGTTACTACCGGGTAAATGAAATGTTATCTTGATCATGCCATTTCTTGATAAACAAGCCTGATCTAAGTTATTTGATGTCTCCGTTGATCACAAATATTTATGCACAGGCATGGACTGTGAACTATTACTATACACGTTCATGTTCATTTCAGTAAAAACAAGATGTGTTTGTGAAACATGATGCCCCCGTATGGCAACATAGCAAAGATCAAACTTTTCTTAAATGCAAGTTTAATATATTGGTACCAAAAGTAGGGTATTTTCACTGGAAATACAATTGTGAAATATGAAAGTAGACTGAGGATAAAAATTTTATGGAAATCTTCAAGGTCAAGATCATTGGGATCCAATGAAAGGTCTTGCCACAAAAAATACATATGTAAAGTATGGAAGCCCTAGCCCTAACCGTTAAGAAGTTATGGACAAGGTTAAAAATTTTTAAAAGTAGGTCAACTCCAAGGTCAAGGGTCTTGCTATCAAATGAAAGGTCTTGTCAAAAGAATTAAATATGTAAAGTGTGAAAGCACTAGCCCTAGCCCTTTAAAAGTAATCATCAAATTTCATGGTCTAGGTCAAAGGGTCAAAGTTCTTGATATCCAATGAAGGGTCTTCTTACAAGGATTACATATGTGAAGTATGAAAGCCCTATCCCTTACCGTTAAAAAGTTATGGCCAAGGTTAAAGTTTTTTTTATAAGTACAAAAATCTCCAAGGACAAGGTCAAAAGGTCAAGGTAATTGGTGTCCGATGAAAGGTCTTGCCACATAGAATACATATGTAAAGTATGGATGCCCTAGCCCTAACCGCTCAGAAGTTATGGTCAATGTTACAAAATTTTAAAAGTAGGTCAAGGTCAATGGGTCAAAGGTCTTGCTATGAAATAAAAGGTCTTGTCACAAGGACTAAATATGTAAAGTATAAAAGCACTATCTCTAACTCTTTAAAAGTAATGGTCAAGGTTTGCTTTTTAAAAGTAGGTCAAACTCCAAGGTCAAGGTCAAAGTTCTTGCTATCCAATGAAGGGTCTTTTCACAAGGATTACATACGTGAAGTATGAATGCCCTATCCCTTACCGTTCAAAAGTTATGGCCAAGGTTAAAATTTTTTCACAAGTAAGGAATTCTCCAAGGTCAAAGTCAAAAGGTCAAGATTGTTGGTATCCAATGAAAAGTCTTTCAACAAAGAATATATATGTGAAGAAAAAATGTCCTGGTATCTACTGTTCAAAAGATTTGGCCAAAGTAAAAGTTTGGAATTTTTGTGTAAAAGTGGGTCAAACTCCAAGGTCAAGGTCAAAAGGTCAAATTTGGTGCTACCCAAAGAAAGGTCTTGTCACAAGGAATACATAGATAAAATATGAAAGTCATAGCTCCACTAAATCAAAAGTTATGGGCAAGGTTAAAGTTTTTGTGAACAAACAGACAGAGAGACAGACAGCTAGACAGACAGATGGACACAACAAAAACTATATACCCCGAAACTTCATTTACGGGGGCATAAAAAAATGTGAAAACATGTATACATGTGTAATCAAAACTTCGAGAGATAGAGGGTAAAAAATCAATGAAAAGTGTGTACATTTAATGGGACCCAGATCTAAGTTCGAGAGAGATCTCAAGTTCTTGAGTTTAGGAGTAAATTAGTTATATAGAGGAAAAAACTGGACCAAAGTTCACTTCAAGAGATTGAGAACTTTGAGAGGTCAGAGTTCGACCCATGGAGAGTCACCTGTATTGTCATAGCAATTCAATATCCATGCAATCAAGTTTAGCAAACTAGAACAATGCATCTGTAAGGTTTGATCAGCATAATATAATAGATCTACTCAGAGAAGGGGTAGGTTGATTTTTGTGCTACAGTAACTGCTTTTCAAAAGCAATTTCTATCTTTCATCAAACTCTTATTCAATTTTTTGCACTTTTTCCCCAAGGTTAAGGATTTAAACATTGGTAATGCCCACTCTGATAAGATTGCCTCTCAAATAAAATTTACAGGCAATATAATCTTCTGAATGAAAGATGTATCACAAAATAAGGATAAAACTGAACACAGAGGGATCCTTAAACAAGTGCCAATAAATTACTAACAGAGTCGGTATTTTACCCTCCTCTGGGGAGGGTCAACCCAGACCCCCAACACGAACATGTATAAGTAAGAACTAGGTAAATACTGCCGGCTTCCAATTCAAATATTCAATTCAAATCAGCCCAGATACCACTCTGAGAAACTCAAATTAGACCTTTCAGATTTTGATTTGTTGGTTATCCAGAGAAATTCTTTTGTAGATATCAGTTAACAACTACCTGGGAATTTGGAAACAACCTCATATTATCTTGAATGCAAAAATTGATTTTATTGGAATCACACTGAAAGCATGATTTGCATTTTGAAATAAACCTTGAATTTCAACACCAATTATTATTTCATGTAATTATCGAATTGCTTTTGCCAAGCCTTTAAAAAGTTAAGCAATAAAAAAAAACTTCTGTTTCTTTTTTAAATCTGATTCAATACTGCGGTGAATGCACAATTAAGAAATTTTACACAGCACCATTCGGTTGAATGCTTACATGCAAACTAAGAAGAATATCTGAATTCCAGGAATATTACATTTGTCAGTGGAAGACCAAAAGACCTTGTGCTTCAAGAATAACTCTGATGTATGATGTAATAAATGTGACAAAAAATGCACACTGCTAATCCATTTCTTATGATTTTGGTAATTAAAAGTAAAATTTCAAAAATATTTCAGTCTAATTGCAACAGATGAATTTCTGTCAGTTAAATTGTATACATGCATGTATATTTATAATCTTTTATACAATTAAGACAATAAGTAAGAAATTGAAGTAAAAAATTGAACTCTGTTTTTCTCTCAACCTTCGATCCTAGATTAAAATTAACGGTCAATTTAATTTTTCTATCACATTTTAATCCTTGTGCATAGTGCCCAATTTTTATGGCACAAAATGTAAAAAACAAAAAAAAACAACAACAACAAAATTAGAAAATTAGAATGGAAATATTAAGCTCATTAAACATTAAGACAGGAACAGTTAAAATATTTTATTTAAAAAAAACACAAAAAAAACAGGAAATAAGAATTGAAATATTTTAAGTCCATTATAAACACATGACAGAAAAGGTTGAAAATCATTAATTTAATAGCAGTAAAATCCAATTGCAGGTATATATGTACCTAACATGAAGAATGCCTCTTCTAATGGCTTTACAAATGTATAGTGATTTAAGAGAATTTTTTAAGAAAGACCAGCAATCAGGTAAGAATCTTGCACCCTATAAAAATCCTATCAATTCTATTAAATCACCAAAAGTAACATATATACATTTAATTTACTACGATTCCTTGTGTGTGTGACGTCAATTGGATTAAAATACAAGTGTACAGCGAGGGGTGACTTACCACTAAGGTGAAGGAGCTACAGTTAGAAGGATTTATATCAGTACTGTAACTAAACTAACTACCCAAAGGCAGCTGTGGTCTGGGAATAACCTAAATTAATGGTAAGTTATATTTTTCTTGCTTCTTAAAAATTAATTGATGTGATTTTTTTTCAAACATTGTCATTTATAAAATATAGACTAATAAAATGGATAAGATTTATAAAATTCATTTGAATACAATCTATACTTCACAAAATATTTTAAATCTTTATAAATATGAAGTTATTAAACAGAAGCCAAGCTTAAAAGTACACTGAAACTAAACAAATTGAGAGCAAACACAGAACTCTAAAATATGAAAGGTGGGATCAGGTGTCATGAAGGAGTAAACATCCCCTGTCATCCCATCACACTTGCTGTGTGTTCCCTCTCAAGATTGGTCAATTAGTTGATTCTGAGGTCATTTTGGTAGATGCTAATTTACAGTCTTCAGAGATAGTACATAAATATCATTATTGTAAAATCAAGAAATAGCAACTGCATTTTCATATAAACAGATGATTTTTTTCGTTAACTTAAAAAAAAATTAAATACTTGATAACATGTTATCATCTTTTATTTAATGTTTTAGCAATTAATATCAAATATTACAAATAAAAGCAAATCAAAAAAAATGAAAATCCTTATCAAGCAATGACAGTCAAATATTTTTTTATGTCTAATAAAAAAGGGTATGTAAAGAATATACAATCGGCCCAAATGTTGAAGACATTTTGGGCCTTTTTTTAAGTTAACAAAAACATTTTCCCATACAGTTCTTATCCGATTTTTTTTCTATTTACTGCAAAGAAATCAATAACAGATGTGGGGCCCTATACCTCAATTATTTTTTTTTAATAACAAGTGGTTTTAACTGATCAATTAACATACTTAAAATTGAGAAATTTAGAATGTGGGACTAGTGCATGACTTGTTCAAATTTAATGCATTTTTATTTTTAGGTTGTTTGATAACCCCTTCATTTTAACAGGAATTATAAACCAAATTGTCAGATCTACTTCATTCACTTTTGAGGTGAAAAAAAGGGAAATGATCTTTGATTAATGGTCTTCAAAAGTTTTGGAGAATTTACTAGATTTGCCTCTATTGGGCTGTAATTTTTTAAGAGTGTAATAAAAAGAGTATACTTGTAAAATAAAGATTTTTTTCTTAAAATTGTATGGTAAAAAAAAATGTATAGAAAAACATCCTTAATTCAAAAATAGGTAGAAATCAAAGAGAACCTGTCATGAATAAGACACTGGTCCTCTTTATCACAGAGTAGGGAAAGGGAATATATGCAATCAGAAAATAAATAGGGGGTTTTGGGGTCTACTTCTCAAGATCTCAATCCTGCAGTTCAAGGAAAAACAAGTAGACCAATACAGGTGGTGGGCTACTGTCTTTTTAAATTCAAACACATGGATGACTCACCGTTTGGCACCAGGTTATCGTCTTTTGTTTCAAGACTGATACTAGTAATCTTTAGTTACATAGGATCATTATAGGTTTAGTCTAACTTTGAACAATTCCATGAGAAAGTCTCAGACCTCTGATTTTTCTTTGAAGCAGAGGGAATATTCAGAAGATGGACTCTGCAGAGAAACAGGCATTACATAACTTGAGACATGACTTACAGAGCCACATGGTGATCACAGATCGCATTCTCAGGCACTTACTACAACACAATAAAATCAACAAAACCGAGAAACATGACTTGTCAGTAAGTATTAGAAATCCTTACTTCTTTGGCATAAATTAGTCTTCTACTAATAAGATTTTTAAAAAATATTTTCTACTAGTGGTTTTTGTAATTTTTGAACTTTTATATGTCAGTTTTGCAATTGATGTCTAATTATTATTTTTTCCAGATTCATGGAGCTTCTTCACAAAAGATTAAGAAGCTGATACAGATCTTACAACACCGAGAGCAGCCCCTACAGGTGATGACAGATGCCCTCTTGTTGGAGACAAGAAACATTTTTATTGTTAAAAAACTAAATAAGAAAGTGAGATATTATCGTTCAAGGCAAGAGCAGGAAGAAAACAAAATAAATAACAGCAATTGTAATCAGCTTCAACCAATCAGTGAAATTCTGTTTAAAAGGGGATATGCTGTTGTTTATGGTACATGTCATAAGCTGGCATATCCCAAAGGACATCAAAAACTAGTGGAGGGAATGAATGTCTTCATGAAAACAATAGAGGACTGTAGGGATACCTTCAATGGGTGTGAAACCAGACATTTCCAAGACATTGTTAAAGATTACTGTAACAAAAAGGAAAAAGAAATCAAGGATGCCAAAGCCCTTTGTGCCAAATTAGTCAAGACTAAAAACTGTGAACTTGATCAGAAAGCTGGGGAAATGAGTTCCCTTAAAGAAGAAGTGGAAAAGCTCAGAAGGGAAAACGAAAAAATACGCAAAAATATGGATCAAGAAGTTCGTGAAAAAGTTCGAGAGGGTGTCCGACAGAGTTTACTGTCCATGCCTATGCTGAGTTCGTGTCTGGGTTTAAGGACAACTAGTATGGGCAGGGCACGAGAACACTCCGAGTCTTCTGGGTTTTCTGGGAATAGTGACACAGGGTCCACATCTTCCTCTGACCCCCGGGAGGACAGCGAGGATGAGGAGGGATTTAATACGGAGACTACGGACACTTACAGTGAGGCTGGCCAATCAGCAACGAGGATCACCCACAATTACAACATCTACAACAACTACATGTATAGTGAAGCTAGGCTTTATCAGTCCTAACCAATCAAACAAGCCAATACAACAACTACATGTATAGTGAAGCTAGGCTTTATCAGAGCTAACCAATCAAATCCTACAACATTAACCAATGTAAAAATGTAAATACCTTGTTGTTACTTTATTTATAATTTTATATTTTACAAAAGATTATTAAATTATATATAATAATCAAAATTTACACATTTTTATTTAAAATTTTTATCATATGTTAATTTTTATAATTGCAAAATGTGCCAAGTAACATAGAGCCTTTACTTAATTAAATATTTTAATTATAAATAAGAGGAGCCTACTATGTATTATAAAAGTTTATATTATTTTCCATTCATAGTTTAAGTGTGTGATGTGTGAATATAATTGGAATGACTTGTATTTATGCCAGATTATTAAGCTGAGAGTAACTTTAGAATTTTGTATATATTTCACTTTATAAAAGACCTGCAAGGTTTACATTGTTACACACAAAAGAAGTTTTTATATTTACATTGAAATTTATTTAAATGCCTTCCTCCAAAAGAAAACTGTTCTTTTAAAGTATTGTACGTCTTCCAGAGCTCTGTTATCACTGCCCTTCATAAGTTTTTGATCTTTAGCCAAAATCACTATTCCCATGCTGCCTTGAACATTGTGAAATAATTCAAAACTTCCTATACCCTCATGCTTGCTCTTTGTTATAACATGTTAGTAACAGTTTAACAGAAAGCTGAATTTAGTTCCAATTCATCTGGCATGTTCCACCCAGGGATCATCCTCTAGTTCCCAGTTCTGTGTTATCATTCTAGACAATCACATTATAAATTTATTTACATTTTTTGTTAAGTTTTGTAAATATTTATTGTTATAACTTGTTATGTGAAAACATCATGTGAATCTGATGTTGGATTTTTGAACTTTTAGGATCAGCATATTACTGATCTCTTAATCCAGTAGTGTCCTTTGTTTTGTAGTTATCTGGACATTAGCTATGGTTAAGGAGTTAGTTATGCATTTGTTAAAGGTTAACTTCTATAAGTACCTGCCCTGTTATGTTTGTTTCTGAAATAAATTCAATATAAAAATTGATGAGATTTTGTTTTTCTTTCATGAATGAACTTAAAGGATTAAAAGATTTTATGGTGCAATTTTCCACCATTCATGAGCCTTTAGAAAAAAGAATTTAGTCCTTTCACTCACTGAAGTGTTAAGAACCTTATGAAAATCTGGGTGGAAAGTCTTGAGTAATTCTAGTAACAGAACCACTTCAAAAGCTATGTAGTTAAATACTGTGAAAAATCATAATCTTTTAGCACCAATATCCTTTTTATAAGAAACAAGTAACTTAAGATGAAGTGCCAGTAATGTTATTAAATAAGAAATTATATCCTCTCTTTAAAACTGGAATGATTTTCAAATTATGCATTCTTAGAGACTTTTGCACTTAAAATAATAGGAGATAATGCAGTAGTTACAACAGATATTCTGTTACTCTATGTCACCTATTATTATTGTGAATGTAATGCACTTTTAGGTAGCAGTTGAAATATACACAGTGTGCTGCCTACCCAGAGTAACAGCAGAGATATCCTGTTACTCAGTTAGACCCCTACTCTTGGAGTAGGAATTCTAATATTACAGGTATTTTATAAACAAGTTAGACATGTATTGTAACTAGCAGTAGAAATATCCTGCTACCCAGTAAGCCATCAGTAGAGAGATATTCTGTTACTCTCCTTCTTTAAGTAACAGTCAAGATATTCTGCTACTCTCCTTCTTTAAGTAACAGTAGAGATATTCCGTTACTACCCTAAGTATCAGTAGAGATATACTGTTACTACTCAAGTAGCAGCAGTAATATTCTGTTATAAGTACAATAGAGATATTCTATTACTACTTTTAGTAATACTAGAGATATTCTGATACTACTTTAAGTAACACTAGAGATATTCTCTACTTGAAGTATCAGAAGACATGTTCTATTACTACTCTTGGTAATAATAGAGATATTCTCTTACTTTTCAGGCACGTAGCATCGTTTTTGAAAGTGGGGGGGCCAACCTGAGAAAATTTTTTTTTTCTTTACCAAAAAAAGTTGACAAGCAAAAAAAAAAAAAACAAAACAAAACAAAACAAAAAAAAAGGGAAAATTCAAACTTACCCAAACTCGAAAATCCTATTTCGTGGGGGGGTAGTGGCCAACTTTTTTCAAGTCGAACTTCCTTTCACTTCCAATTTTTTCCTATATTTCTTGCTTTGTATATACTGTAGTAAAAAGTGGGGGGTGGGGGGCAACCATCTTTTCAATAGACATTTTCTATAGTAAAGGTAATGTTAGGGAAAAAAGTGGGCGGGCCAGGCCCCCCCTCTGGCCCCCCCCCCCCCCCCGGATACTACGTGCCTGCTTTTCTTAGTAACAGTAGAGATATTCTGTTACTATTCTTAGTAACAATAGAGATATTCTGTTACTATTCTTAGTAACAGTAGAGATATTCTGTTACTATTCTTAGTAACAAGTAGAGATATTCTGTTACTGTTTACTCTTCATTAAAGATATTTTGTCACTATTTGTTAGTAACAATAGAGATACCGTAATTTCGGGATTATAGGTCGATGGGGTATATAGGTCGAAAGGCTCATTTTCAGCCTAAATTTTTGAAAAATCCTAAGATAGGTCAAACTTACTATATAGGACGAGGCTTTGTTTCCCGTTTTCTACAGATTCTTACGCAGATACAACGTATCAGAACAGGTAAACCCCTAAAATTACCGGGGTTATTCCTTGACATGAATGTATCAAGAAAATAAACAGGTATTTTAATGAGTACAGCAATTAAATAAAGTTTTAAAAAAAAAATTAGTTAAAACTTCTTTGAATTGTGTTACTACTTATTTTTCTCCAACTTGCCTGTTCAATGCCTCCGTAGTTTCACACTGTTGTTAAATCAGAGGCATAAATAACACGTGAATACGTTATTATTTTACAGCCATAATTCGGGAAATACCCGAGACCAAAGAATGGTAATTCCGATTTCAGAACAACTTGGACACATTCCTAATAAATTTTATTCAGACATTATTTACCGGTGGACGACAATTACTTCGATGTCCGCCATTTTTATTTTTCTTCTCCAGGGATTTGCTAAAACACGCAAATGACCATTGAATGTATATATCAAGCAACAGTGAAGAATTAAAATCATATTAACACTCTATAAGTTTAATTTATAAATTTAATTGAGAGTACAATTTGACTGTCAACATGAATTTCACGGCTTTGTTTGTTCAATGATGTGTAACACTAATACCCTATTACGGCACGTGTGTTTGTTAATCCTGCCCCGCAGGCATTTTAACCAATACAGGTGTTACACCTTTGTGTACACAGTGTAAATCCCTTTATCTGTCAGACAATTAAAATTCTGTTAGAAGCCAATCTTTGTTTACCAGTAATTCAATGAACTTCTTGTGTACGAAGCTTTTAATAAACCTTATAATATTAGTTAAAATTATATTACTGTCTTAAATTATATTATTATAATTAAAATAAAAAAAAAAACAGTAATGACTCATGTTTTTTTTTCGGTAATTAAATTTAGTAATTGAATGGCAACAAATTATTTCACTCATTTTACTTTTAAATAAACATAAGACAATAAAAAATATTTAATATACTATGTCAGTTTATCGCTACTAATAAATAGTAAAAACACTACAGTTGTGATCGTGAAAAATTTCCGTATTTTAAATTTTGATACGGTTACGGTTTTACTTTTAGTACACGATCGCGACTTCCTAACTTCACAAGATGGATACCGCATAATGTTAATGGATAATATGTTGAGGAATTATTTAATAGATGAAGCAATGTTGTTTTCCTTTGTCATCAACGGATAATTAATGGAACTTATTTTGTAAGAAAGCTATAGAATAAATATTTTACTGTTTTCTGTGGCATTAATTTTTTTGCGAAAAATAATCAAAAAAGTTACGAAAGTGGCACAAATTTGCTTTGAAAGTGACGTAAATTTTACTGATTTGGAGGCATTTTTCATAAACTTGAGCCTTAAATAGGTCGAATTCTGAATATTGGTCGACCCCAGCGGTTCTGAGAAAAAAGTATCGACCTATATTCCGTAAATTACGGTATTCTGTCACTATTTGTTAGTAACAATAGAGATATTCTGTCACTATTCTTATTAACAATAGAGATATTCTGTCACTATTCTTAGTAACAGTAGAGATATTCTGTCACTATTTGTTAGTAATAATAGAGATATTCTGTTACTATATTTAGTATCAGTAGAGATATTCTGTCACTATTTGTTAGTAACAATAGAGATATTCTGTCACTATTCTTAGTAACAATAGAGATATTCTGTTACTATTCTTAGTAACAGTAGAGATATTCTGTTACTGTTCACTCATCATTAAAGATATTCTGTCACTATTTGTTAGTAACAATAGAGATATTCTGCTACTATTCTTAGTAAAGGTAGAGATATTCTGTCACTATTCTTAGTAACAGTAGAGATATTCTGTTACTGTTTATTCATCATTAAAGATATTCTGTCACTATTTGTTAGTAACAATAGAGATATTCTGTCACTATTCTTAGTAACAATAGCGATGTTCTGTTTACTCATCATTACAGATATTCTGTTACTGTTAACTCACCACTATCCTCCAGCTGTGCCTGTGCCTCACTCAGCTGTTTACATCATTAGAGATATTCTGTTACTGTTAACTCACCACTATCCTCTAGCTGTGCCTGCGCCTCACTCAGCTGTTTACATCATTACAGATATTCTGTTACTGTTAACTCACCACTATCCTCCAGCTGTGCCTGTGCCTCACTCAGCTGTTTACATCATTAGAGATATTCTGTTACTGTTAACTCACCACTATCCTCTAGCTGTGCCTGTGCCTCACTCAGCTGTTTACATCATTAGAGATATTCTGTTACTGTTAACTCACCACTATCCTCTAGCTGTGTCTGCGCCTCACTCAGCTGTTTACATCATTAGAGATATTCTGTTACTGTTAACTCACCACTATCCTCCAGCTGTGCCTGTGCCTCACTCAGCTGTTTACATCATTAGAGATATTCTGTTACTGTTAACTCACCACTATCCTCTAGCTGTGTCTGCGCCTCACTCAGCTGTTTACATCATTAGAGATATTCTGTTACTGTTAACTCACCACTATCCTCTAGCTGTGTCTGCGCCTCACTCAGCTGTTTACATTGAGCGTACAGTAACTTGAACCTCCCCTCTGTTTCTGTCAGCTGATTCAAATGCTGCTCTGTAGACTGGAGATGAAGGTGTAGTTTTCTCTCCTGTTCTGTGACATCCTTCTCCAGTTTGTATTTCACAACCTGAAAAACACTTCCCTACATTGCTCTGTCCAGCTTCCCAGCCTTCAGACATCAACATCATAACCTTAAAGTTACATCATGTAAAATGAATAATAAATCAGCCAAGAATACTTCTAAATGTGTAGAATGATATTGAATATAAAGAAATATTTTACCTATTATTAAATAATTTAAATTAAATATTATCAATCAGAGAGCTTGTTTTTAAAATGGTCTTCATTTTAGTTTGGCTAAGAATGAGCCGGCAGATACTCTCACCTCTAATTTCCGAATTTCATCTTTCAGCAGGCTAATTTCTTTATCTGTGCAATCTTTGAACACCTTGTGTTGTTTCTATTACAGATATATAAAGTTAATAAAGCTCATAATGTTTTTATGCGTTAAAATAAACTTTCATCCAAGAGATATTTCTATCCATACACGAGTCTCTCTACTGGAGATAAAGATCCACATTACTTATAAGTAGGGATGTCAAATCGGTCAATTTTCAATACTCGGTTACTCGGACGTTTTTCCGATCGAGTACCCGGGTACTCGGTAAAAGTGTAAATAAATATGAACAAGTAAATTGAAGACTGTAAAACATTGTAAACTCTTGTAGAAATAAAACCAGATGCACTGATGGACGCTTATCCGTAAATGTATTTCTGTTGTAATAATAATGATGAGTACTTCGTATTAAAATTTAACATACCGGTACCAATTTTTAAATTCAATTCATTTATCAGATAAACACAAGAAATAAAATCATAAGTTGTTCACATTGTTTTTGTTTAAAAAAAAATAATTTGCTCCGTAATTGTAATGTAACTCTTTGTCGCGTTTGACGACCAGGTATCAGTCGTCAGAGCTACGTACAGTATCAACTTGAACTTGATCAACTTCTCCTAACAGAGCGGATACACGATTTTAGTTCACTTGTTCGATCCGAGATTTATATAGTATTACGGGACGGTATTTTGTACATGTAGTTTGATGCAACGATGGACATCAGTTTTTTTAAAGCCTTTGCCTTCAACCAGTTGTATTGGCATGTAATCAAACACAAACATATCAACAATCGCACGTGTAATCAGAGACATATAAAACCATATATATGTCTTGGTGTAATACATTGCTCTTCTCCGAGAATTTACGGCTTCTCTGAGAATTGACAAAATTGTCTATTTTTTTTTAAACATAATGGATCTTAAAACGATGTTCAGTGAAAACAAATAATTAAAGCCAAACAAAAAATAAGGAAGAAGGCAGCCGAAGGTGAGAAAAGCCAGGTACCCCAGGTGCTTGGTCACGATAATTACTGTAATGTATAAACACTGCCACAGGCGATAACGGTCATTTAGAGTCGTAGTAAACCCTAATTACTGTATGTACAAGTGCAATGAGCATTTTACGTTTTTAAACAGATTGTTTAATGCATTAATAAATAAGATTAGAAATATTCCAAAATATACATCCGAGTAACTGAGTACCGATTTTAGTAAAAATACGACATTTCCGAGAGGTTAATGGGTATTGACATCCCTACTTATAAGTAATTACTCTCAGTGAATAGAAGGTGGACAAATTAAAACATTCTAGATCATAATCTGTATATGTGGACAACAATCTGCCACTAATACAAGATGTAAATTATAATAATCATTAGTTTTTTTTTTTTTTAAATCTATAGTTTATTATTGTGACATTCTCTGTGAGATGTTTTACTAAGGGTGACACTTTATATCAGACCAGCTGTTCCTCGGCCCTGGACAGCTTCTCCTCACACTTCCTGTCCGCCTCCTGTAACTGTTTCCTATACTGCTTGGTTGCCTCTGTCAACTTCTGAGATTCTGACTCCTAAACCATTGCATCAAAAGCATGTCATTTACAAGGTAAGGCCAAAATAAAATTATAGTTTGTTTGGAATTGCCTCCCGCCTCATTGAAATGCCCCCTCCTGAAAAAAATTTATTGACCAAAAGTAGGAAGATTTTTTTTTTATTTAATCATTTTTTTTTACCCATTACATGTATCACATGCACCATACAAAACACTGAAATATAGTGTCAGATCTATGTAGAATTAGGTTCTTTTTGTTGATGGTAGATACTTTTTTTAAAAGTCAGAAAATGACTGTTTACTGAGAGTTTTATCAAAAATTTAGAATTTATCTTCAATAAAAATAAAAAACAATTCCCCTGCCTCCTGTGTCTGAAACCCTTCAGGCGGCAATTCTAAACAAACAATTTTTTAAAGATGGCCTAAGGGAAGCAACTCTTTATTTGAAATTCAAATGATAGTGTCAAAAATATTCTCAGATGAAAACTGTTACACTTACACATTTTCTAATTAGTTGATATTTCTCTTGATCAGCCCTTTTTATTCTCTCTTCATTGTCTTTGTCATTCATCTGTTGAAAGTAATAAAATAAAACAATATCGATGAGATCACAGACAGAGCTAAATAAATCCTTTTCTCTATTCTATTTTTTTCTAAATATATGTATGTGCACCAAGGATGTCAAAGTCTGAAATAATTATACAGGAAACCTATCTTTATATACCGTATAAGTGGAAATTTTAGCGAGACGCAAATTTAGCGATTTCTCCTTAACAAGAAGCCCATGGGCCACATCGCTCACCTGAGCACTGTGGCTAGGAAAAGTAGAAATTGGTTTATTATTGAAAAGTTTAAATCCAAAAGCAGTCCCATGACCAATCATGGATTTGCTATTCTTGAGAAGATGATTTTTGACGAATTTTCCTACATATTTCTATGTAAAACATTGGTCAGCCATTTTGGCCCCGCCCTACCCCTGGGGGTCATGATTTGAACAAACTTGAATCTACACTACCTGGAGATGCTTCCATATAAATATGATGAAATATGGCTTTGTCATTCTTGAGAAGAAGATTTTTAAAGAATTTTCCTATATATTTCTATGTAAAATTTTGGTCGGCCATTTTGGCCCTGCCCTACCCCCGGGGGTCATGATTTGAACAAACTTGAATCTACACTACCTGAGGATGCTTCCATATAAATATTATGAATTATGGCTTTGTCATTCTTGAGAGGAAGACTTTTAAAGATTTTCCTATATATTTCTATGTAAAACTTTGGTCGGCCATTTTGGCCCCGCCCTACCCCCGGGGGTCATGATTTAAACAACTTGAATCTACACTATCTGGGAATGCTTCCATATAAATATGATGAAATATGGCTTTGTCATTCTTGAGAAGAAGATTTTTAAAGAATTTTCCTATATATTTCTATGTAAAATTTTGGTCGGCCATTTTGGCCCCGCCCTACCCCCGGGGGTCATGATTTGAACAAACTTGAATCTACACTACCTGGGGATGCTTCCATATAAATATGATGAAATATGGCTTTGTCATTCTTGAGAAGAAGATTTTTAAAGAATTTTCCTATATATTTCTATGTAAAATTTTGGTCAGCCATTTTGGCCCCGCCCTACCCCCGGGGGTCATGATTTGAACAAACTTGAATCTACACTACCTGGGGATGCTTCCATATAAATATGATGAAATATGGCTTTGTCATTCTTGAGAAGAAGATTTTTAAAGAATTTTCCTATATATTTCTATGTAAAACTTTGGTCGGCAATTTTGGCCCCGCCCTACCCCCGGGGGTTTTAGCGAGAAGTAATTTTAGCGATTTTAAAATGCTCACTTAAGAAGCTAGTACAAATAACACGCAATTCATTTTTAGCGATATTCAATTTTAGCGATCTCAACAGCCTCGCTAATAATGCCAAAATTAAATCCTCGCTAAAATTTTTACTTATACGGTATGACATCAAACGGGCAAAGCAACACAAAATGACTTTAATACACAAGATGTTTTATAACTTGTATCAGCCTTTCTTGTAAAGATCTAAAAAGCCTATAGTCAGGGGTGTAGACATCAGGGTTCAACTGTTAACCCACATACTGTGGTTTCGTCAAAATTCGTTGAGCACCAATTTTTGAGGAATTCGTTGTTAAGCAGATCCACAAAATTAAATGTTCTTTGAATTGAACACAATAAATATGTTATTCATTGGTATAGACGATGCTTTTGTTCACAAAATTATGTATCCTCGAAAACGTCTGTTTTACAAAATCCACGAAAATTGATGAAACCACAGTATGTAGGCACTGGTCATGAAATATTTATAGGACAAAAAGTTTTCTCAAGTAAACTTTCCAAAACCAAGAAAGACATTCACAGCAAGTTAATATGAAATGGAGAAAATTGAAACTAAATTCAATTCTTGCCCTCCTTAATTTCAGTTCCTCCAAGATTTCTACCAAACCATTCCTCAGTCGTAGACATTCTACTGCACTCATGTAATCCTCTGGATTTTTCTCAGTAAGTCTTGTCATGTGTTTCTTATCTATATGTGATGTATCTTCATCCTTACATCCTGAAAAAAAAACCATCAAAGTTTTTAGTACCAGCAATTAACAGTGCTTCAGTACACAAGAGGCCCATGGGCCACATCGCTCACCTGAGCACTGTGGCTAAGAAAAAGTAGGAATTAGTTTATTATTGAAAAGTTTAATCCAAAAGTAGTCCCATGACCAATCATGGCTTTTCTATTCTCGAGAAGATGATTTTTAAAGAATTTTCCTATATATTTCTGTGTAAAACTTTGGTCAGCCATTGTGGCCCAACCCTACCCCCCGGGGTCATGATTTGAACAAACTTGAATCTACACTACCTGAGGATGCTTCCATATAAAATATGATCAATTATGGCTTTGCCATTCTTGAGAAGAAGATTTTTAAAGAATTTTCCTATTTATTTCTATGTAAAACTTTGGTCGGCCATTTTGGCCCCGCCCTACCCCCGGGGGTCATGATTTGAACAAACTTGAATCTACACTACCTGAGGATGCTTCCATAAATATATGATCAATCATGGCTTTGCTAATCTTGAGAAGAAGATTTTTAAAGAATTTTCCTATATATTTCTATGTAAAACTTTAGTCGGCCATTGTGGCCCCGCCCTACCCCCGGGGGTCATGATTTGAACAAACTTGAATCTACACTACCTGAGGATGCTTCCATTTAAAATGATCAATTATGGTTTTGCTAATCTTGGGAAGAAGGTTTTTAAAGAATGTTCCTATATATTCTATTTAAAACTTTGGTCGGCCATTGTGCCCCGCCCTACCCCCGGGGGCCATGATTTGAACAAAATTGAATCTACACTATCCGAGGATGCTTCCACAAAAATATGATCAATTATGGCTTTGCTAATCTTGAGAAGAAGGTTTTTAAAGAATTTTCCTATATATATTTCTACAGCTGTATGCAAAACTTTGGTCGGCCATTGTGGCCCCGCCCTTCCCCCGGGGGTCATGATTTGAACAAACTTGAATCTACACTACCTGAGGATGCTTCCATATAAATATGATCAATTATGGCTTTGCTATTCTTGAGAAGAAGATTTTTTAAGAATTTTCCTATATATTTCTATGCAAAACTTTGGTCGGCCATTGTGGCCCCGCCCTTCCTCCGGGGGTCATGATTTGAACAAACTTGAATCTACACTACGTGAGGATGTTTTCCCATAAGTTTCATCTTTCCTGGCACAGTGGTTCTTGAGAAGAAGATTTTTAAAGTATACCACCAAATTTTCATTAATTCCCGATTATCTCCCCTTGAATGAGGGCTTGGCCCTTCATTTGAACAAACTTGAATCCCCTTCACCCAAGGATGCTTTGTGGCAAGTTTGGATGAAATTGGCCCAGCGGTTCTTGAGAAGAAGTCGAAAATGTGAAAAGTTTACAGACAGACAGAAGAACAGACAGACAGACGGACAGACGGACGCCGGACAAAATGTGATCAGAAAAGCTCACTTGAGCCTTCGGCTCAGGTGAGCTAATAATTGATCAAATACAGTACTGCATTTTGAAATTTTGGATCAGCAACTCCAAAATCTTATGTTAGTCTGGAATTAGTTTGTGATTTTTGCGAGAAAGCTACAAAAGTAAAAAAAAAAAACTTTAACAGTATCCTGCTATGACCTTGACCTTATGAGTGAGAGCCTGGGTTTAGACCCTTTTTCTTCTTCTGTTGAACAGCAAAACTCCAGAATGCTGAAGATTACCCCCACTTTTGGCAAATGGTGTAATGATGAAAGGACTCTTTTTGGAGTTGAACTTGAACCATTACCTATGGAAACTCTTTGGGTCATGAAAAACCAGTTGGAGCTAACAGTTTAGAAAGCATGCCCGTGATTAAACATCTGATATGATCTTGACCTCCAACTTATTTTACATAAAACTTAATTTAGGGTCATCCGATTGCACACTTTTTAGTTTTTACCAATCTAGACATAAAAAATCAAAGTTAAAACAAAAGCCTATTCTTGTAATGTCTGACTTAGTAATATAATCAAATATTTATCATCCTGTAGTCACTTTGGAGTAAAACTTCATACCCGTTGTGGTCTTCATCATGTTGATGTTTTCTCTCATTTTATCCCCATCATAGGATGCGTTATCCATAGTAAGACTTGAAGAAAAAGGTGTGATTAACTCTTCTCATCTGAAATCAAAATCTTTATACAATACATCTCAACAATGAAGTATCGCCTGGTGTGAATTTGACATTTCCCGCGTATATATTTAAATGATATCGTACTTAGAATAATTCGAACAGAGAAGAAATTATGTGCGAGTTAACAAAGATCTGTCAAATAAATTAATTTCCGGTTTTGTTCTGGATATTGCACAACAAGGTAGTAACACGTAAATTACAATTTTAGATAATGACATCTAAATTTATTTCTGTTGTGAAATTGCTTATATATACTGTAAGCTAAAAAGGATAATATTATTCAAGTATTTCAAGTAAAATATTGAGAAAGATTCATTAATATTCGGTTCATTATTTAGCATAAGTTATCAAATGGAAAGTTGTGAATTTCAAAGACCACACATTCAATTGTCTGTTTCTAGAGGAAATAAAATAAATACAGAATTCAGAACAAGTATGTCTACGCCGTGGGGTAAAATACAGGCAGCACCTGTTATGCCATGTTCTCTACAAGATGTAATGAGTGAACAGCTGGCTCTTGATCTTCAGAAAAAGGAGGAAGAAAACAGGTGAGAATATCATGATTACATCAATACATGTGCACTGGTTACAGTGGAAATCAAAGCAGAAGGTTTTAATGGCTACAATTACTTGTATGAGTATTAGACTAGAGTAAGTTTGAGAATGTTCTATTGTTAAAATGGTAATTAAATGCAATCTGAACTCAATTTAACGATAAAATGCATTCTGTGTATTGACAATATAGCAAAGCAAACTAAAAGAAACACACACACAAAAAAATCAAAGAATATTTTTAAAATCACAGAAGAAAAGGAATGTTTTTAAATTGATTCAGAAAAATAACACAAACATTGTTGATTTCCTTTGAAAACTATAGAGTCAGGTACATGCATAAACACTGTTTATTTATCATTAAAACAAGGGTACCATCTTTTACAGTGTAAAGGTTGAAGAGACAAGGACCTTCCAGGAGATACTAGCAGCAGCCAGCGAGGACCCGGAAACAACAGACGACTTTCTGCTGGCTCAGATGTTACAACAGGAATACGACAGAGAGCATGATCAGGCACTCAAAATAGAGGAAAAAAAGTTCAACGGAAATAACAAAGGTTTGTGTTTTGAGTATTTTTTTAGAGTACACTACAGTATGTGTCAGAATTTATGATTTATAAAGAGCTAGATGACATGGTATGTGTTTTTTTTTAATTGTCATGTGTGGAAAGTGCATCTGATCTTAATCTTATGTATCAATATTTGTGGTTGTGATAAAGTTTTCCTAATTTTATTGTCAGTGATATTTGTGGTTGTGATGAAGTATTCCTATTTCAGTGTCGATTTCCTTTGAGAACTACAGAGTGGTACATCCAGCGTACAGAGATGAAGAGGATGAGGAGGAAATAGACCCAGATGAAATCGAGTACAGGAAAACTCAATGGGGTATTTGATTTGTCTACTTTTAAAAAATCAACCTTTAGGCATAGGTTAATTACCTCTTTTTAATTACTAATTAATTAATAAGGAAATTATCACTTGAAGCATGGGATATTTTAAATTTCCTAACTGAAGTACTTTTATAAACATATGTCAGATGTTCATGTCTTTGCAATCCTGACAAGCAAAGTAGTACTGTATACAGGGAAATTTTCGCCCCCGTTTTATTTTCGCCCCTTTTGCTCTCTTCTGATTGGGCGAATTTAAAACGGTGCGAATTCAAATAACACTGCATTATTTCTTAAACAAAACTATGAGTGGGCAAATTTAAAATGGGACAGAATTGTTCGCAAGTGCAAAAGGGCGAAAATAACACGGGGCGAAAATAATCCTGTATACAGTAGTCATTATCAGATAATACATGTAGTAGGAAGCATTCTTCTTTTATTAAAATTTAAAATATCTTTTTCAGATAGCCCAAGTCCCAAGTTCAACAAATCTGGAGTAATTGGCAAAGGCAAGAATATAACTACCAAACATGATGCTGAGATCTGTGGGAGAAGAAATGCATCTAGGTTAATGGATGTAAGTAGGTCAAAGGTCAAAGTTTGTGAGTCAAGTTAAAAAGGTACCCATCACATTTATATGAGAGAAGACCTCCTTCCCCCAAACAAACAAACAAAGCAAAATCCCACACCTTTTATTGTAAATATATGCATACTTGGTGAAGTAAAAATCAATTAATCTGTCATCTGCTTTCTTAGCTTCCACCAGAGTTTCAGTCTGGTGATGGAGAAGGGATAGACATGAAGCTCCCCAATAAAGTATACAACAAACTAAAGCTACACTCACTGGCTGAAAACAAGAGAAGTCAGAGACTGCATGAGAAAAAGGAGTTTTCTACCTCTGTAAGTCTTAATAAACTGTAATTTTTTTTTCTGTCAAAGATTAATGTTTGATCTGTCAGTTTACTGGATGAGCCATACCTCGATTGAATTATTTTCTTTGTGTATAGCAACACTGCAAAGATAAAACAAACACTTTTATTAATGAATCAGATAAAATGAACACATGAACTTAAAAATTGGGGAGAAATTCCTCAAAATTTATAGATACAAGTATTAAAAGGAACTTCCTTATATTTTAGAATTCATTGATATGATATGATGTGTTTTTTAATTGGCAAACATGGTAAATGAACCTGACTTTATTAACAGGAACAAGTGTTAGATCCTCGTACCAAACTGCTGCTGTATAAGATGGTGAACAATGGGACCATGGAGTCTGTAGGGGGGAGCATCAGCTCCGGGAAGGAGTCCGTCGTGTATCACGCATACGGGGGAAGGTAAAAACTTTGGAGCTATGATATCTTACTCGTTATATAGGTGTCGGGTAGTTCATTGCCTTTATCATACAAAGTGCTAGTAAGATCATGGAACTTTCAATTCTTCATTTTGATCTATTGATGGCTTTTATTCTTATATATGTACAGTTATTGTTACTCTGTTTGAACAAAGGAGGAATTTGTCTGATTATGTTACTTTTAAAGAATTAACCTCAAAAACTCAATTGTTGTAGCTTGCATTAGTCATATACATATATTGTGTAAATTAATGTGCTTATAATTACTTGCTACTGTTTCAGCAAAGAGGGGGTTTTGCTGTCAACTGAGTGTGCAGTTAAGATCTACAAGACAACACTAAATGAATTTAAGAACAGGGGAGCATATGTGGATGGGGATCACAGGTTTTCTAGGGACGACTTCAAGAAAAACAACCCAAGGAAAGTGATTCGAATCTGGGGGGAGAAAGAGACAGCTAATCTCAACAGGTGAGTGAAAACTACTGGAAACCAACATTTATACAGCAAAACTCGTTCAGTACAAACACAGATATTGCAAATTTATGGATATAGTGAAGTCATTTTGGATCCTCAGCTATATAAATTGAATGAATTTCTTACACGGTTATAACAAATTTCAGATATATCAAAGTAATTTCCTAGGTCCCAGTGACTTCATTATAGCCGAGTTTTACTGTAATCATTTGTAAAAAAAAATTCTTTGTAAATCTATGAAGAATGATTCCTAGGTGGATGAGATTAGTAATCATGATAGCTATCAAACTGAAAATCACAAATTAAAGTTATAATAAATTGTTTACAGTATTAGATTCATATATAGGAAGCAAGAGTGTTTGATTAATAACTTGAAAAATTCAAAGCATTTAAATACAATATTTAAGTACAAATTCTGTGTTTTTATATACATTTGTACTCATTGTAAGCCTCTTCCTTTATAGAATGAAGAAGTTTGGGATCCCTTGCCCCGCTGTACAAGTTCTCAATAAACACATCTTGGTGATGAGTTTTATAGGCGAGGACCAGTGCCCCGCCCCCAAACTGAAGGACGCCCAGCTCTCCGTGGAGGATTATGAGGACGCTTATGAACAGGTTATAAAGGTGAGCTTCTCCAGGTATCCATGATTCTCAATCAAATTTTTAACTTTTTGTATGGGTAACTTTACAAAAAGAAATATGGGGAGCAGATCAGTTATACTTTAGATAGTAAAAATTAAGTCACCAGAATCTCCTAACATCTTACATGTGTGCTTTATTTTCAAGGTCACTGCCAATACTGATACAATGTCAATTTAAGCATGGGTAGCTGATTTACACTATCAGCTTTGTTTCTAACATTCTTTTTCTATCTTCAGATAATGGATACAATGCAGAATAAATGTGCCTTGGTTCATGGGGACTTGAGTGAATACAACCTGCTCTGGTACCAAGATAAAGTGTGGGTGATCGATGTCAGCCAAGCGGTAGAACTCACTCACCCCAAGGCCATGGAGTTCTTGTTTCGAGACTGCACAAACGTTTGCAAGGTACGCATAGCTGAATTGATCCCAGGATTTCTGAGCATTATTATTAATTCATCCTGATGCGATCATCTATGTAATTTATACACGTACTAGACTTGAGCAATTTAACTCTGATTAAATCTGTCAAAACTTTAAATTTCAATTTTTTCAAAGTGCTACTGTCTATTTTTTAGTTCTTCAAGAAGGCAGGAGTGCATAATGTTAAAGAGGCAGAGAAACTGTTCAATCAGATCACCAGACTAAATATCAAAGGGAAGGGCGCGGAGTTTGCCGCCCAGGTCCAGCGATACGACAAGGAGAGAAGCGCGGAGTTACTGGCTCATCAGATTTCTATGAAGGAGTACGCGTTTGATTATTACTTTGAGAAGTCGCAGCAGGACCGGCTAGAGGAGGCCGGGGAGGATGAGGGGGAGGTGTTAGAGGACAGGAACGACCCGTTTGAGTATTTTTACGAGAAATCTTTACAGGACAAAGCTGATGAGGCAGGAGGGCAGGATTCAGAGGAGGAGGAGGAGGACGATGAGGAAGTAGAGGAGGAACTTAGGAATGCAGATGAAGAAAAAATGGATAAATTAAAACTTGGATAGGGATAGGGAGGGTTAATGGGGGGGAGGGGGGTATAATACTGCCAAAATGTACGTGTGTAATAGTGTTTTCCTAGAGTAATGGAAATCTTACCATTGTTAGGGAGGGGGGATTACTGCAATAACAAACATGTGTATAAGTGTTTTGGTTGAGTGGGAGAAGATGGTCATCATTTTTGATCAGGTCCCTGTTGAAATGGCTAAAGCTTAAGAATTATCTTTAATTTAAATCAAAAGTATGTAGTTAAATGTGTAACTGTGAAGAAGTGTGAAAATTGAAATGTCTGCATGAAAATGATTTTTGTTGTTGTACATGTTTTTCATTCTTTGTATGAATTAATTGTTTTGATTATTTATTACTTTACCTTTTTACATAAATGTTTTATTAGCTTTATAATGATATTTTGACTTTTTGCATAATCTTGAACTGTTTTTTCATCTTTAAATAAAAAAAATTGAAGTAGAGATGGCAATTTCTTAATGGCTAACTGAAATAGTGTAAATCAGCCACAACATAGGTAATCAGTCGCAACAAAGGTAATCAAGATGAAAAGATATAATTTATATTATCTGTAAATTTGGGTCATGGCGACTTTATACAAGGTTTATCAAGTTCAAATAGGTTATCATTTAGAATGGGAAATCTTGTGACACAATACCATATTTGATCATTTATTATGTCTTGAAAAAGAGAGTGGCTATCCGTTGTGAAAACAGTCATATGTCTGCTTGAATAATTGCCCTCTTGATTATAAGCCCTTTGAAATATGGCTGAAATATTGCTGAATTGGCATTAAACAACAATCAGTCCTGAATAAATGTGTAAAAGAGACCTAAATAAATTCAATGAATGCATATTAATGACATTTCTCAGATGTGATTTGCCAGTTGTAAATCACTCAGTCATGAAAAATGATAAGCAGGACTCAAGTTTTCCTCTCATAAACATTCTGAAGTCTTGTCTTTTTTTGGTCATATATATTGACATATATATCCACGAGCAGGAGTTGAAAATCTGGTGAATAGTTCATGCCTGCATAGCATAGCAAAAATTTAAATCTTTGTTTTTATTTAGGAAATAATTGATTGTTTTTATGTGATCAAGCAATTAGCTAGTGTGATAATTCATTTGCATCAATTCTGAAGGTGTTCGTTATAAAAGATGTAAAATGTCAACCAGGATTACCTATTCAATAAATGTTACCAAATAAATGTCTCCATGCAATTATGTTTTGATTTGAAGGATAAAGCTCTGTAAAATCTTATGTCCTCGAGTGAGTGTACATGCATTTAACTTGATCAGTGTCTAAATTAATCTCTAAGAAATTAACTTCTCTAGGTTTGATTTTAATCAAGTGTGAGTTTCATCAAGTACTTGTATCAACCCTTTTTTTTATCAGAGTAATGGCCCTTTATGATGAGATAAATTTTTTTTTCAAACTGGGTCTATTACTTGGTCTTTGATTAAGATTTTGGATAATTATGGGTTGATATAGTACTGTGACAAATATTTAGTATATTATGTATGAAAGGTGTTGTGCATATCAAACAATGATCAATTATACATGTATGAGAGTCATATTATTTACTCTTTTGTGTCGAAGACTCCAAGAGCTAATGCTATGGTCATTTTTGCAGTGTATTTACAGTAATCTTTCTGGAATATATTGGCCATATCTGAAGAATCTCTTGTGTCACAAGGGTAAGCCTTAGCCGAAAGACTTTCAGTTTCTTTAAAATTAATAAAACTGAAAGTAAAGATGTGGTCTTTAACAAAGAGAGATTGTTAGGAATATTGTAAAATGAGTGGTTGCTAAAAAGTCTTCTTCCCAAGAATAAGCAGAAGGATCACCAAACTTACACCTATGAATGAAAATATGTTGTAGATTAAAAATTATGAAGATGTGTTGCCAATTAAAAATTCAAGGCACCAGCTGGGAAAAGACATGGTGATTGGTCTAAGGATAACGTCAAAGTTGACCAAAAATTATGTTCTTTTAAAACTAATATATTTTTTCCACTATAAGGACTACATAGAATCATCACATTTTTGCAGTTGATGTACCGTATAATCCCTATTAAGGCGCTTAGATAATTGCGAAAAAGGGGCGGTTATTTTGGTATTCACTTCGTAATATTTAACATCAAATTTTAACTTCAAAAAATATTTTGAACAAAAAATAAATTCAAAAATCTCTAAAATAATGTCTAACTTTACTTTAAGTGAAAATAATCCACCCAGATCATGCTAAATGAATCATTTTCCACCAGGAAATTGGATAATAAAGAAGCTTCATTTTCATTTTCTTCAAATTTTGGCAGACATTTGATACAATTCTAGATAATATTAATCACTGTATAGGGGGCCCTTATTTCCTTACAATTGAAAAAGACCTAAGGGGGCGCTTATAGGGGCAGGGGCGGTTAATAGGGATTATACGGTATCTTACAATTTCATGTCAGCTAGGCTGGCTCAAATGTTGATCACAGTGTCCTACATTTTTAATTTTTTGATTTTGGTTTATATTTCTGAATCCTATAATCATCAAAATTTGTGTCATTTTATGCATCATGGGATGATTATTTTGCCCTCAAGAGATGAAATCATTAGAATTCTTATTACTGAGCAGTACATGGACAAGGACTTAGTAGTGATAAGCATTCCATGGAGAAACATGAATGTATTCCAGAAGATCAAATATCCTTCTTATTACTGGTTAATTTCTTTCCAATGAAAAAAACATACACAGTGATAAATTTTAATACTTGTTTTCTTCGCCCTCCTCAAACACCTTAAGGTAGGATTCTTCTCATATTTCTAATATTTAAAAATTAATGAAATTTTCACAGAATCAAGAAGACAATATCAGTTAGTGATAATATCAGTGAAATTAAATTTGACCGTTTTATATTAGAGGCAAGGTCAGGTCAAGGTCATTATCTTTTTCCTTGACATATAAGAATAAAAAAAATAACTTGCCAATCAAGTGATACCTACTTCTATTTCAAAAGTTCAATGATTGTTCTTTTTGCATAAAAACATATTACTATATCGGGTCTTTAGCATGATATTACCAAATTTACATAAATAATTTAACTTAACTGGATATTGGCTAATCCGAATTTTCTCTGTTTTCCTTAATTTTTTAGGATATATTAGTTATTTTCATACGCTTCCTATATTTAACTTTTTCTTATTTTTACATATAATAAAGTAGTCTTATAAATGTACAAAATGATACAAAAACAATAAGTTTTGATCGTTTACTAAGAGAGAAAAAATACTTTTTATGGATTTTTGGCTCAAATCTGCACTTTGATAGGAAGCGTTTAAAAGCTTACAAAGTTCTAGTTTGTTTGAAAAATCACATTTATTTGATATATTTTGAAAGTTTAGTCCCTCATTATTAATTTAACTTACATTTGAAAATTTCTCCAAGTCTTCGATTGTGTAAAAATTATAACTAAATTCATTGCTCTAATATAATTTTGAGAGGCAGAAAAGAAGATATTTTTCATACACCACCATTCCGCCAAAAATGTAGTCCCTGCAAGTTTTCAAAGGCAGTTTACCATTTCTATTTAAAGTTGTACAATTGTGATGAGGAAAGAAAAATATGGTCTTTTAAATTCCTTACACCTCAATATATAAGATATATAAGCATATATATACTCTGAATGCTTCATCTAGTCAGAAACCAGAGAAGAATCCTACCTTAAGATTAATTCCATGCTTAAGACAGCTTCATTACAACAAGTTATCAACTTACTAAGGATTATGAACCCAGTACGCCTTTTATATACATGTACATATATCATTTACTTTCCAAAACAACAACAATATCATAACAATCTTTTTGTTATTTTTATTTCTTTGTATCAAATCTCATTTGTACAAATGTATATAATTGTAAAGAAAAAACTGCTTGAAAATAACAAAATTATTGAGCACCATTTATAAAATAAAATATCACTTCAATCATTATTTATGTAATGTCAGTTTTGTAATCTCATGTGACTGAGTACTGGAATGTTTAAGTGAGTTCTGTGAGTTTGAGTTACTGAAGTTTTGGTTCTCCTGCACTGATCTGAGACTCAATACCACACTCATCTCTGCCTCGCAAGATCTTGAAAAATCCTGAAAACAGAACAAATATATTAACTTCAATCCTAGAATACTATAATTAGTTGCATAAAGCAGTTTACAATGTCAAGCTTAATGTAGAGAGAGCTTTTCCCGACAATAAAATACTGGTAATACACTTCCATAAATAATGACAGAACAAATTATTTCAGGTATATGTAACTTTATCTGGATCCCCCCAATCATGCAATGACCCATGTTTCAGGTATTTGTGATCTTACCTTGACCTCTTCAATCACTGACCTTGACTATCATATGTATTTATGATCTTATCTTGATCTCCTAAGTTAGTAGCCTTGACCTTTTTCATGTATTAAAGACCTTACCTTGATCCCCCAGTCATGACATTGACCTATTATATGTTTTTATGAACCTAACCTTGACCTCACCAGTCAATGACCTTGATCTCTTTTATGTATCTGTGACCTTAATATAGATCCTGATCGCTCCATGACCTTGCATCTGTGACCTTACTTTGATTCAACCAGTCAGTGGCCTTGACCTATTTCATGTAACTGTGACCTTACCTTGATCTCTCCAGTCAGTGGCCTTGACCTATTTCATGTAACTGTGACTTTACCTTGATCTCTCCAGCAATGGCCTTGACCTGTTTCATGTATCTGTGACCTTACCTTGATCTCTCCAGACAGTGACATTGACCTATTTCATATATCTGTGACCTTATCTTGATCTCTCCAGTCAGTGACCTTGACCTATTCATGTATCTGTGACCTTACCTTGATCTCCCCAGTCAGGGTTCCAAGAGTTGGCAACCAGCCAATAATCATCTCCGTTCTCAGTTCCCCATCCAAGAATCTTAATGGCGTGTCCTCCCAGAGGTTGACCAGTCGTGTGCTTATAAACACCTACAGAATAAAACAGGATCGAATCAATATTAACACAAAGAGCAAAACAAGCAGATGTGCCATAAATATTTATCTGTATTGTGCTTTAAATTTGATAATTTCATATGAATTTATGATGTTAATGATAACCTAAGAAGCATAAAAGCACAATGGTACAATAAAACGCACCAGATTTGTATTGTGGGAAATCAGCATAGACTGTGAAAGCGCCCTCTACTGGACCATTTGTCATGATCTCAGTCTGAATTTTCTCTACACCATGTACGCTGTAAGCAGACATTCCTACAAAACAAGAGAAGTATTTTTTTTTTAAGACAAATAAAATAACCTATTACAAAATCAAATGCATTGCTACCAACTATCAATTAAATGTCAAAAACGCTACAAAATGTTTCTCTAACAGAATACATTAAGCTTTGTTGATTTCTTTTGTCTATCATGAATGGAATACCGACATTGGTAATTGTGTAAGCCTTACCATAGTGTTTATCCTTAGCATAAGTGACATTGTAGCCAGCTTCACATTTCTTCTCACAGCGTGGTGTGGGGCCAATCTTTTTGGAGCAGGGCTGGAGTTTACCCACCACATGGTGGTCACAGGCCTTGATTGTGTACGGTAGGCATCCCTATTACAAAGGTATAATCATTATCAATTTCAACCATTTATAAAAAATATTTTCTATATATTTACCCAAATTAGATAGAATTTATGCATAACTGGTGTCAGTTGTTGTTTATTCGTATGAGATTTATTTGAGTGCATGCTTATCTCATGCGAGTTGTTTGTTATTTATATGAGATCTGTCAGTCTGAAGGTTTATCTGGTGTGTGTCACAGATGCCTGTCAAATGGATGGTGTACCCCCATCACCCCCACCCCACCCCCTTCCCAGCTTCTGGAAATTTTTATTAGACACAAAACTTATAAAAAATACCTGATTTTCTAGTTATTTTCCACTTTTGTTAAGATTTAGAGATTGGCCCTGTACCATATATAAAAATATTGGCCCTGTACTATATATAAAAATAGTATTTTTATATATAGTACAGGGCCAATCTCTAAATCTTAACAAAAGTGGAAACTGATATCAGATATCCAAATATAAGAATAATAGACTGAGAAATGTATTTTTGATAAGTTTGTGTCTAATAAACATTTTTAGAAGTGGGGAGAGGGGGGGGGGTCACACCAACCATTGACAGGTGTCTGAGGTGTGAGTTAGTGAGTAGTTACCTGGTGTGAGTTGTTTGTTATCTATATGAGAACTGTTGGTCTGAAGGTTTACCTGGCGTGTGTTAGTGAGTGCTTACCTGGTGAGAGTTGTATTGCCCACCAGTTACTAGACCATCTCTTTCATAATAACTCCAGGCAGCTGATGGGAAACCTCCCTCACAACTGAAAGTGAAACATTAATTAGAATTTGATAAAACATTGGAGAATCATTAATGCAAGGGGGAATTTATCATATGCTTACATAACAATTAATTTTTATAAATGCTCACTATAAACTTTACTTCATTACCATTATTTTACAAAATACCACTCCAAAAATTTTACCCATGCCCAAGGACAAGTACATTATCATACATATATTCAATTGTCCTCAGTTGATTTTCACTCATCCACTACTAGTTAACGAGTGTTTTATTTCTGATCCACAATGAGTGCAAGAGGGTATTTTTCTCACCCTGATACAAATCAACTTACCCATTTCCACAAGTCCTGCAGCATGCTGTCAGATCTTCAGCTGAAATGTGAGCATTAGATTTTCCCTGAGACTTGATGCAGATACGATCAGACATGGCTTCAACAGCACCAAAAGCCTGAAATGAAGAAAAAGTAATTAAGCTCATTTTACATATTGAAATATGAAATAAATACAAGAGGCCCATGGGCCACATCGCTCACCTGAGTACTGTAGCTTAGAAAAAGTAGAAATTGGTTTATTATTGAAAAGTTAAAATCCAAAAGTAATCCCATGATCAATCATGGATTTGCTATTCTTCAAAGAATTTTCCCATATATTTCTATGTAAAACTTTGGTCGGCCATTTTGGCCCCGCCCTACCCCCTGGGGTCATGATTTGAACAAATTTGAATCTACACTACCTGAGGATGCTTCCATATAAATTTGATGAAATATGGCTCTGTCATTCTTGAGAAGAAGATGTTTAAAGAATTTTCCTATATATTTTTATGTAAAACTTTGGTCGGCCATTTTGGCCCCGCCCTACCCCCGGGGGTCATGATTTGAATAAACTTGAATCTTCACTACCTAAGGATGCTTCCATATAAATTTGATGAATTATGGCTCTGTCATTCTTGAGAAGAAAATTTTTAAAGAATTTTCCTATATATTTCTATGTAAAACTTTGGTCGGCCATTTTGGCCCCGCCCTACCCATGGGGGTCATGATTTGAACAAACTTGAATCTACACTACCTGAGGATGTTACCCCATAAGTTTCATCTTTCCTGGCACAGTGGTTCTTGAGAAGAAGATTTTTAAAGAATTTTCCAATATATTTCTATGTAAAACTTTGGTCGGCCATTTTGGCCCCACCCTACCCCCGGGGGTCATGATTTGAACAAACTTGAATCTACACTACCTGAGGATGTTACCCCATAAGTTTCATCTTTCCTGGCACAGTGGTTCTTGAGAAGAAGATTTTTAAAACATGCCACCAAATTTTCATTAATTCCCGATTATCTCCCCTTGAATGAGGGCATGGCCCTTCATTTGAACAAACTTGAATCCCCTTCACCCAAGGATGCTTTGTGGCAAGTTTGGTTGAAATTGGCCCAGTGGTTCTTGAGAAGAAGTCGAAAATGTGAAAAGTTTACAGACAGACAGACAGACGGACAGACGGACGCCGGACAAAATGTGATCAGAAAAGCTCACTTGAGCCTTCGGCTCAGGTGAGCTAAAAAACTTCAACTTACTCAAGAAATGGCTAAAAAGATTGAAACATAATGTTGCTGTTGAAGACCTTGACTTATTAAATTTTCTACAGATTATTTTTTGCTTGACAGTTATGATAACCTCATTCCATCTACTCTGGTGGAGGCAATTAAGATTAACCATCCACCAAACACATGATTCCCAGTCCCTCAATTTCACTGTCCACCCTATATATCTACCCCCTTCCCATCCCTGGTTTCATCAGCAAGATCCTCTAGCTCCATGGTCTTTGACCTCCTTCATTAGCCACAATCCCTACCCTCCCTTACCTGGGACTTACCACAAGCTCCTTGATAAATTACCACCTTCAGTTTTAATATCAAAACCACCCCACCTCACCCTCCCTACCCCAGCACTTACCCAGCAAGATCCACAGGCTCCTTGGTCCCTGACCTCCTTTAGTTTCACTACCCATGGCCCCTCTCCCTCCCTGCCCCAGTATTTACCTTGGTCCCTGACCTCCTTCCATTACAGTCCCCACCCTCCCTACCCCAATACTTACCCAGCATGACCCCAGGCTCCTTGGTCCCTGACCTCCTTTAGTTTAAGAAGTATTTTATTCATAATATAAAAAGAAGTGTACAATATGAATATGGACTGAACAGCAGGCCTAGGGCCTCTATTAGTTCTCTCCATTGACCTCCTTTAGTTGCACTAACCGTGGTCCCTATCCCTCCCTACCCCAGCACTTACCCAGCAAGACCCAAAGGCTCCTTGGTCCCTGACCTCCTCCAGTCCCCACCCTTCCTCTCCCTCCCTACCCCAGTATTTACCCCTGACCTCCTTCAATTTCATCCCCGCCTACTTCTCCTTCCCTTCCCTAATACTTACCCAGCAAGACCCACAGGCTCCTTGGTCCCTGACCTCCTTCAAGGTGGGGCAGTTGGTCCACTGAGTTCGGGCATCGAAGGTGTCTGGGATATCTTTTCTTGCCTCCATCTTCTTCTCTGGGAGTCTCAGTTCTGGGGGTGTGTTTAGGTAGGTCCCACACATCATCTTCACATGGGCAAGTCTGTCTTCTTTGGCAATGTGGTCAAAGTTCTGCCCTGCCTATTGTGATACAGCTTTGTATTACTAAATATGTTACACAATATTTATTATATTTAAACAAAGTGTATTTTTTTTTCACTTTGTAATCTTATACATTTACAGAATCAGTCTAGTTAGTAGATTATGCCAGGGCATCAAGGCGAGTTGGAAATGTGGGATAATTTGCATAAATTATCCCATGTAAATGTCTGGTTGTTCTTCCAAGGAAGTTTGAAATCAATGCTTAAGTCTTCGTGAGCAAAAAAATGTTCATCTTTGGAATGGTGATTTCAAATAGACTAAAGTAACCATGTAATAACTTAAAAGTGATGACAACTAAATTAACATTTCAAAATTATGTGGCTGTCTTTGTGTTTGATGTCAATGGACAGGGACTATTGAAATTGCATGGGAGACCTCAAATAATTTAAATCTATTAATAATAATATTAGTCTACAATTTTAAAATCTAAATTTACAATTTTATTTCACCATGAAATGGAAATAAGGAATCACTGTCCAGTTAGTAGAGTATGCCAAGGACATCAACGTGGGACAATTTATGCATAACAGGCTTCCTTAAATATCCTAAATGATACCAAAGATATCACTGATACCATTATTAACATATCCTGTACAGTGTACATTCTGTATAATCACACAAAACAAACATTTTTTTTATTTATCTGTCTGAAAACACTTTTTAAACTAGAGGTACTGTGAGCAATGAGCTCATTAAATGATACCCCCCACCTCCCATATGAATATAATGGGAGTGTTCATGATTTGTTGTGGGAAACCCAAAATTGTGTCAGATCAAAAAGTAAATAAGAGGTGCACAATGGCAATATGTAATAAAAATTATGTGAATTAAAGTTTCATCAAATTTCATTCAGTGGTATGAGAGGAGTTGCAGATAAGAGATGGGTACTCCAAAGCATAACAGACAGATGGATGGACGTACATAACGATTACTATATACCCTCCTGCTTTTCAAGCAGGGGATATAAAAATTCAGTTATTCCCAATCTAAAGACCCCCCTTCCCCCAACAACACTATAACAATATCCCTTATGATCTGAGAATTTCCATGCATGACAAAGATTTCCTAGATGCTTAAAAACATTTCCTTATACACTAGTGATAATTCCTAATTATATGTGCTATATTTACATCCTTATTTCTCAATCAAGCTTATAACTTCCTTCAAGTGTTTACTTGAAATTGATACACCTGTCTGATAAAAAACAACTCAACTGCCTTTTAAGTCAGAATTTCCCTAACAACTACATGTTCTCTTTTTCAAAAACGTTCTATAAGCATTTCTTAGATGATTCATTTCCTGTGGAATTTTTAAGACAATCAAAAGGTTTGATATCTTAAGGCTGCTGTATCAATTAGAAAATATATTACCCAGTATCATAATTTACATTGTAATGTTTATAATTCTTATAGAGCAAATCTAACATGTAATAGCTAGAAACAGAATGCTCCATGTAAGTTAATTTGTATACTGCAATATATTAAGGAAAATAATTATTGTTGAAACCAAAGGGATTTAAATCTAATCTATCACAGTTCACTGGAAATCCCCTCAAATCTGAGGAAGTATGGTAATCAAATAAAAAAAAAATATTTCCACAACAATATGTAGAAGTTCTGGCTTTACGTGACCATAGATATCAGCCTAGATAGGTCAGTGTTGGAGCACCTGACTAGTAATGCAGGGGTCTCAGGTTTGATTCTCAGTGCAGCCATGTTTTTTTCATGCATTTTTCCTTTCCTACAACATTATATAACCCCTACCTTCCATGATGTGTTCAGTTTGTTGATAAACCAAATCATCTCATCTGAGAGGGGCTCAAAGATGTCACGATCTCTGAACTCCACGAGGGCACTCATGGCACCCGCCACAAGCAGGGACAGGACAAGCACCTTCATGGTCACTCAGGGGCTGAACAGAACAGAATAAAAAATTAATATACAGGAATAGCAATTTTTAAAATATTTCAAACCAAAACTGACACTTTCCAAAACATAGAAACACATTAAATAATTAATATAAACCCAATCTAGTGATGCATTTGCCTTCAATTATGAAAACAAATAGGCCTACTTATTATAGGCCTAGTGGAAATTTATTGCTTTAAAAATAAATTTACTTTTGGTCACATTTGTCCAATCTAAATTGTTCATAATTATTAAGGGGGACAAAACAAACAAATCAAAATGACAGGTACACAGGTATGTATTCAGATTCCCTCCACACCTGTGGTTCATTTCATCCCAACATGTTACTGAAAGATCTATAGGCACATTGAACTTCACTCATACCAATTAATTTACAATGTAAATTCACTTAGGGGCCTAACTGCTGCTAAACTTTAGATACAACAGTGATTTCTCAATATCAGTGATGATATACAATATAAAATCTTTTAAAAATACTTCTTGATTACTATGGATTCAATTGTATCATGCATTGTATCAAGAGACTCTCAACAACTAGTACAATAACTATTTCATGATAACTATTTCAAAATTCTCGGATATCTCAAAAGTTTTGTCCTGTTGTCCAGTTCAAGATAACAGAGTTTATGACTGATATACATGTAGATCATTAATTCACTGTAATTAGGATAGCACTACAGCCATAAAGAGCTCAAATTATGGAATAGCAAACAGTGACAAAACTTAGCTGGGACAACGCAGTAGGCCTAGTAATTTGAGTAAACATTGTTACTGAACATGTAGCGAAATTAATCAAAATAAAACATTGATAATAGTAAAAACATTTATACTATACCTATTAATCTGTAGAACAACAAAATCAGAGTGTCAGTTTTAATCAGATGTCTGGTGTTATAGCTATGCCGTTAATTTTATCACCGCATCACGGGTTTTACGAAACGTTGAGTCATGTGGTAGTCATGTGACTAATGATAGCTCAAAAATAGAACAACGAGACGGCCAACTGGGGGCGGATCCAAATAAGTCATGAATATCTGATCCAACAATTAGAAAAGGTTTTCTGCTCAAAGATCTGTGCACAACAGTCAACTGAATAATAACACAATCTAATCTGGAGATCTTTTTAAAACAAATTATTTTGTATACTCTCAGTCTCTCCCACTTTCCGATGTTTCTGTCATGATAGTTAACGTTAAACTCTGGCAAATTCTTGCTTTCACATGTTTAAGAAAAAGAAATACTGAAGCGTAGGAGAAACCAGGAGTCTCTGTCGAGACTGTAGCTTAAGAGAAAAGAAGAGAAAAGTAGCAGTTGGGGCAAAAAACTTAACAAAAGCAATGGATAGAATAATGATCATTGATAAAGTCTTTTGTGACAAGATTGCAATAAGACTACAACTGTGGGAGTAGCTTTTAATAAAATTTTACAGTATTTTCAATTCAAGTTACCATGGCAACATCGTTTATGAAAATCAAAAATACAAAACTGATAATTAAGTACCTCACTGTAGTCTACTTGCATGCCAAGTTATATTATAATCAGACTAAAACTGTATTTGGAGTAGCATTTTGAAAGTATTTCACAGAAATTTCTATTTTTAGTAACCAAGGCAACACCCTTCATCGAAATAAAAAAACGCTGATACACAGACTTATATATCTTAGTATAGTCTACTTGTGTGCCAAGTTATATTGAAATCAGACTAAAACTGTAGGAGGAGTAACATTTGAAAAGTATATTTCACAGAAATTTCTATTTTCAGTAAGCTGTTGACAAAGCAGGTAACAACATTGTCTTTGTTTGTAAGGCTCATTATATAAATTGTATTTAAGAACTTGAATTTAATTCTACAATTGGTAATCCAACTTATACTCATAGTTCCCTTTCTAAGGAGGAAATTCTTCAAAATCATATGTCAGTTTTGAATAATTTTAATATCCCAAAGAACCAAAATGAATTAGAACTACCTTAATATATATTGGATTCCGAAATTCCATAAGAATCCTTAAATGTTCAATCAAACCTCTTTCTTTACTTCTCACTAAGATATGTGAATCAGATGTGGATACATAAAAATTCCAAGGAACTTTTGGACAATTTGAAACCACAAGATTTACCAAAAATCAACACCTTAAAAACTTACAACTTTTCAATTTTATACACAACCATTGCACACGAAAAATTAAAGTCCAGGCTTTTCGATATACAGCTTTGACTGTAATTGACAGCTGCTTTTTCAATAAATATGGAACTCGTAAATTTACTTAATTTGCCATCGCTCATTTGCAAAATTAGTTTGTTAAAACATTCTGATTGTACACACATGTACTCTGAGGTCGACATCAAAAAGATCATGAGTTCATGATTAACAATATCTATGCTGTTTTGGGAAGTCTCCCAACAATCAATTGGATTTCCCATGGGTACCAATTGCGCCCGTTATTAGCAGACCTATTTTTGTATTCATATCAAGCAAAATTTGTGCAAAATCAAAATCTTATGCGTGAAAAGAAGGAAACAGTTGCTGTGGCCATCAACTCGACATTTAGATATATCGACGACGTATTGTCAATTAACAGTTGTAATTTCCATATGCCGATACGATATATCCTGGTGAGCTTGAGACAAAAGATACCACAGAGTATGACATATTTTTGTTTCATATTTGGATATTTTACTTGAAAAAGACGTTAATGGTTATCAAACAAACAAGCTCTGTGATAAACGTGGTGACTTTAACTTTTCTATCGTCGACTTCCCTTACTTATGCAGCAATATACCTTTATCACCTGCATACGGAGTTCATATATCTCATTTCATTCAATACGCAAGAGCATGCCCTACGTATGAACAATTTCTAAAACGAGGTAAATTATTTACAAACAAATTTATGAAACAGGAATATCATCATTTCATACCGTTTTTGGTCGATACAATGACCTTGTCAGCAAATACAATTTATCATTGAGTCAAATGTTGACTGACTTTTTTCATACTTATTGTTAGTCCATTATTTATACACTGAATTGACGACAGATTTTCCCGTTATTTCCCGATTTTGACAAGGAGCACACAACGGATGTGACCGGTCGGCAGGGGATGCTCACTACTCCATGGTATCTGATCCCATCTCTAATGTTTTGGAGGTCTGTGTTTGCTCTGCTCCTATTTTGTATTGTTTTATGGACTGTGACCTTGAATACTGTTTGTTATCTCCATAATTTCATTCACATGAAAAGGGAGAAGATACAGTGATCGATCTTATAAATCATGAAACCAAAATGATTGTAAAGAGCTAGGGGGGATACCACTGTCTCAAGCCACGGTTCGGAGTCCGCATATAGCTCCTTCCTACCAGGATGGGAGAGGATCGTACATTTTGGCCATACATGGTTTGCGACGACGGAGGTGGGGTGGGGTGGGTTACAGAGATAGTGGAAACAGAAGGCAGATCTAAATTTATCGAAGAGGAGTATATTGAACGCCAACTTAACATGTCATTTCCATTATTGAGAGCAGCATGATATTCCCAAAGTAAGATTAATTTGGAGGAACAGTATTCCATCTGATATGGAACATTTAGTAAAATTGCAGAAATGTTAGATTTTAATAAGGGCATTTTTAAAAACAAATTGCAAACTTTCAAGACAAAATGTAAAAAAAAAAATAATAAAAATTTATAAAAATAAAAAAATAATAATTGCATATTACATGAATGATTGAACTAATAAAACACTGAAGTTTTTTTAAAGGGTGAAAATTACTAAATGTGAGATTTTTCTATAACTCATACCAAAATACAACCGTTTATCATGATTAATTGAAAAATAGGCGTAAACTATGCTCAATTATCCAACCTGCTTTTATATTTTTATGAAGCAGAATTTATTCAAAAATGTATATCTAGAACGTATTATGAATCAACGATAGTTTATCATAAGTTATTTCCTTTAATTTTATTTCCTACATCACACTGAACTGAACTTAAATTAGAAGACACCATAAAGTCGATCTGCCACATCAAGTTTCATATTCGTATGTTTTAGTACAGCTATAATAGATTATATAAGAAACAAGGTGATTTCAGTTTTAATAGCTCTCGTCAACTTTCAACTATTGAATTGTAGTATATAGTTCCGCTATCACCTATATATTATTTTTACCTCATGTGTGATACAGTATACCACGGATACGAATAATTTTTAATGTGAACCAGAGAAGTTGGTGTTAAAGGGATTTAAACAAACTCATTTAAATTCAGCATTTTGTAAACTCTATGCATGGATGGATACAGGATTTGTGATTGGGGGGGGGGGGGGAGGGCGTGGATAAATACGTTCAGGCAAGGGTCTGGGGACCGCCTTAGGGCCCAAATGGGTCCAAAGCGAAACCCTGGTGGGGGGCCAGGGGATGAAGCCCCTGGGTTTTCGTGTATTTTAAGAGTAAAACCAGGCAAAATAATAGTGGTATTGGTCAGTTATGTACCAAAATATGACATTCTTAATACATGTACTAGTCATATCATACTTTGAATGAAGGGGGCCCAGGGGGCAAAGCCCTAGGAAGCAATTGGGTTTTCCCGTATTTTAAGAGTAAAACTAGGCACAAAAATAGTGGTAATGTACCAAAGTATGGTATTATTAATATTATTCATAACATACTTTGAAAATATTAGGGGGGGGGTGCCCCCCATCCCCTTAAATTCACCAGTGCTATGGTTGTTTGGTTGACCCCTTGGAAGTACATTTTACCCATCTTTAGGTCCTATTCTGACTCACATGTTTTATACCAATTGCTTGATCTCTTTAATTCTGAATCCAATTACAAAGTTTCTTCTGCCTGGTCAATACAATGCGCCTAAGACGTGTGTACTATTCAACGAAGAATGCGTATTTCTTCTAGGCACCTAATCCCACCTCTGGAATTTCCAAGAGACCGAGTTTATGCCATTTTTTACGGACAGATCTGTATTTATTAACTTTTCAAATCTATCACCATTAGTAATCTACAACTCATTTTTCTTTGATGGATAGACTTGTAGCTCACTGGTTGTCCAAAGATTTTTTTTACTAGTGGCTTACAGATCTGCGTCTACCAAATAGCAAAGAGAACGGTTGATTAAGTTACCTTTGCTAGATTATTTCAGAGATAGAAGACATAAGTTTATTAATGACAGTGTAACAGACGCATGAACAAACATAATTAAATATCAATAATCTGAAACTTCTTTAAATTTAAACAGATCTAATTTAACACACACACACACACACACATCATTGTAACCATCGACATAAAATGGTGTTTTATTATCAATATTTTAATTGTCATGATGATATATACAAGAAATCTCTTTTTTAAACACATGACCACATAATTTGTGGCATCGTCAAAATACGCACATAACAAAACAAAAAGATCATTTGCAGTAGATCTACGGATTGCTTTTATAGTGTGGCCATTTCTTTATCTCTGCATACAACGTATTCCCAGGGCATGTTGTTGAAGACGCATCACGATGTCCATGAAGTGTGTAGCTAGATTTTATGTAGCGTTTTTCCACACCACATTGGATTAGGTTCTTTGCTGCGTTTAATGCAGCACTAGCCGGTAGTTGATCAGTAAAGTTTCCAATGAAAGATGCCGCCAAATCGTTGTTGTAGCCATAAGTATGCGCACCGACGCGATTCCATCCTCGACCCTCGTACACATTCCCATCATTCCCAACCAGGAAGCTGTAACCAATGTCCTCCCATTTCTTGGCTGAAAAACAAATCATAATAAAAGTTAAATTTGAATTCTTTGATAAAACTGCATCGATGTACTAGTATCCCTTTAAGCAGTAACACATTAAATGGAACCCACTTGTATATATCAATTATAGGGTGATGAAGCTTAACCTACTGTTCATGTGATGTCGCTGTATGGACCGTACCCTCTCAGAACACGTGGGATGGAGTAACAGGACGGTGTAGCTGTGT